CAAACGGAGATTACGTCGGAGGAACCGTGCAAACAAGGACGAAGGCGAAAACTCAAACGCCTACATCAAATTAAAACATCAAACATAATTTTTAAACACCAAAATTAATATTTTATTAAAATCTAGAGAAACATATAGACACAATAATAAGTATAATGATTCTAAGTCATGAATATAATCTAGTCATCTAATTCTAAATTCTACTCATCTAGTTCTAAGTATAATCTAGTTATAATAACAAGTATAATGCTTAAGAAAAAAAAAACAATATTGTTAAGGAAAAAAAAAATATATATATATATATCTATCTATCCGGGCGGCGGCAGGGGGCGGCGGCGGCGGCGCCAGGAAAGGGAAAGAAGAGAGAGAAAACACGGAAGAGTGACAAGGGGAGAGAGGGAAGGGGAGGGCCGGGCGGCGGCAGGGGGCGGCGGCGGCGGCGCCAGGAAAGGGAAAGAAGAGAGAGAAAACACGGAAGAGTGACAAGGGGAGAGAGGGAAGGGGAGGGCCGGGCGGCGGCAGGGGGCGGCGGCGGCGGCGCCAGGAAAGGGAAAGAAGAGAGAGAAAACACGGAAGAGTGACAAGGGGAGAGAGGGAAGGGGAGGGCCGGGCGGCGGCAGGGGGCGGCGGCGGCGGCGCCAGGAAAGGGAAAGAAGAGAGAGAAAACACGGAAGAGTGACAAGGGGAGAGAGGGAAGGGGAGGGCCGGGCGGCGGCAGGGGGCGGCGGCGGCGGCGCCAGGAAAGGGAAAGAAGAGAGAGAAAACACGGAAGAGTGACAAGGGGAGAGAGGGAAGGGGAGGGCCGGGCGGCGGCAGGGGGCGGCGGCGGCGGCGGAAGGAGAGGGGAAGAAGAGAGAGAGAGAAATAAGGGAAGAGAGAGAAAGAAGGGAAGAGAGAGAGAAAGAAGGGAAGAGAGAAGGGAACAAAGAGAAGAACGGCCGGCAACGGGAGCGGCGGCGGCGGCGACGGTGACGGAAAGAAGAGGCGGCGAGGGATAGGAGAGAGAGAGAATCGGGAGAAAATGAAGAAGAAGAAGGCGAGGAGATTAATTTAGGGCACTTAGTCGTCGCAAATAAATTTAAAATGTCGTCGCAAATAAAAAATTATTTGCGACGACATTTTCGTCGCAAAAAACACAAACATCGTCGCAAATAAATTTTTTTTCCCGCCCATACTTGCTCGTCAACTAGATTATTTACGACGACCATGAAACAATGTCGTCGCAAATAATCTGAACTTATTTGCGACGACAAGTCGTTGCAAATATGGCCAATTGTCGTCGGTAAAACGTGGGTTACATTCGCGCCAAAAATCCGCGCCATCAAAATTTGCGCGGTAAAATTATTTGCGACGATAAATAATTTATTAGCGACGACATGTGGATTTTTTTAAATGGGAGTTATTTGCGACGACATGTCGTCGCAAATAGTCTACTTTTTGCGATGACAAATGTCGTCGCAAAAAATGTCGTCGCAAATGGGCATATTTGTTGTAGTGATCAGATCAACAAAAATCCAATGTTTTTGGAATGTGTAATGAATTTCTAAGGTGATGGAATTTACATCGAGCAATCGTGAGCTTACATTACTAGGAATGTGTTTGATAGCATCCCAATAAGGATTATTAAATAATTTATGGTTTCTTGTTATAACACATGAATTTTAAGCGATGTTAGTAAGAATAATAAATTAAATTAGATAATTTTAGTGAAATCGGTTGCCCGGGACCGTTTAGTTTGCTGATTCGAGTTGAGATATGACTGGTCCCATTCACTTCACTGATTTGAGTTTAGAATTTGAGTTTTGCTATAGTAAAAAGTTCTCAGAAACAGTCACATCTAACTTTTTTACTACAGTAAAAAGTTCTCACATAAAATCACATATCAACTCGAATTACAAACTCGAATCAGCGAAGTGAACGTTTATGTGAGAGATTTTTACTATAGCAAAATAGTTAAATATGACTGTTTTTTTATAACTTTTTACTGTAACAAAACTCAAATCGGTGAAATGAACGGGTCCCTATTTAAAGCTTAGTCTTGTTCAATAGTATGCTTCACTTACTATAAAGTGATATGGATTATTTGTGCTATTTAACATGTCCGACGTTCATTATGTTTCCAAGTTAAGATCTCAGGTTACTATGCCTCATGTGATAAGTCTGAACCTTCTCGTTGCATTTTTTTCTCTTCTAATCTATTTGAATTTTCAAGAACTTTATTGTTAATGCCTTTTTATTAAACAATGCAGATCATCATTAAATCTGAAAATTATATACTATGCAGTGCAGTAATACGTTTCCATACATCTCCTTTCTTCCAAAAAAAAAAAAAAATCAATCGACATTTCAATTAGAAGTACCTAAATTCAAGTATTGTACATAAAACTAAGTCAATTGATCACTTAATTCAAGTAAAAGATACATATTTGAAAAAATAGTTACGTTTATTTTACCGATTTGAGTTTTTAATTTCAGTTTTGTTATCGTTAAAAATTCACAAAAATTCATATCTAACTTTTTCTAAAATCACATCTTAAATTAAATTAAAAATTCAAATTAACGAACTAAATTAAGGTCTCGTTCATTTCACCGATTTAAATTTAAAATTTGAATTTTATAACAATAAAAAGTTATTAAAAATAATCATATTTAATTTTTTATTACAGTTAAAATCTTTAATATAAAATTATATTTTAACTCAAATTAAAAACTCGACGTGCGGTTGCATTATCGTTTCAGTTAAAATTCTCCGCCGCTACCTATCCATTTTCATATTATTAAAAATAGAGTAAATTACGTTAATGCCCCAAAACCGAATAAAATAACTTTCTTTCCCATCTGCAAGACTGCAACCCATCTGACCTCATCTCCACCTGTCCTTCTCTCTTAAAAATGAATCTGCTACGGCCCCCTGCTAAACACCTCGCATTTCCACAAAAAACTTGTAAAAGCTTCCCACTCCTAAAAAACTATCATTGTCAATTATTTTAATATTAAATAATAAGTAATATAAAAAACAAATGAAAATCAAGATCAAAATTATGAACGGGGTCTTAAAAACTCCGTCACCAATGTATACAAATGATAAATGTCTCCTGCCATTATGAAATCAATATCCACGTACAATCATCAACTAACTTTGAGGATGTTCTTTTATTGTTTTTGAGTCATGTGACTTGAATGTAAATTTTAAATTAAGTTTGAGTTATAATTTGAGTTAAAATTATAACTTGAGTTTGTATTTTATTGTGTACATTTGAGTTATAGTTTGAAATAAGAATCTTTTTGAGTTTGTGTTTGAGTTAGTCAAAACTTGAATTTGTATTTAGATAGTATTTTAATAAAAACTCAACGTTGATGAAAAATTTTAATAGGGTATATAGGTTGGGTTTTATTTGTCTTTTCGTTGTCAACGCATAGAAAAAAAATCATCTCAATTAGAATTAAAATGAAAAAGTTATAGCATTTTTAAGAATAGAAAAAATATTGTTCGGGCTCGTTCAGTTCGTTGATTCAAGTTTTTAATTCGAGTTGAGATGTGACTTTATGTGAGAGCTTTTTACTGTAGCAAAAAAGTTAGATGTGATTGTTTCTGAGAACTTTTTACTGTAGCAAAACTCGAATTCTAAACTCGAATCGGCGAAATGAACGAGGCCATTATTAATTTAAGTTTGAGTTTCTAAACTCGAGTTGAAAGGGAAACTGAACTCTAGTTTTAGTCTCAAACTCGAGTTCAAATTCAAGTTCAAACTTAAAAGAACATGAACTAACTCATGGGCCCGTTCACTTCACTAACTCAAATTTTATGATTCGAGTTAAAAAACTAGATTCGAGTTTCAAAAAAGTTGAGTGTAATTTGAAATTTAGAGTTTAGTGTTTAGGTGTTGACTATTTAACTTTTGAAACTTGAGTTTTGTGTTCACTTGCACAAATGCCAAACTCCAATTAATTTCAACATTGGCATGCATTTCTGTTATGTAAAAAACGTGAACATGGTGCATTTCCCACATTGGCATGCATTTCTGTTCTTCATAAGAATATATATATATATAAATGTATATATATATATATAAAACATATATATATAACAATCTGGGGAGGGCAATTATAAAGGCAACCAAGTAATACATAAAAACTAATCTATCAACGCCGGTTGTTCTCAACCAAGTAATACAGAAAAACTAATCTATCAACGCCGGTTGTTCTCATATGCAGCCCACATACTATTAGTTATTTCATCCCCAAAATGTGCATTTGTCGTCAGTGTGGACGGTTTTGATGTTGTTGGCTTCCCCGATCAGGATTGTGATTCTGATTCACATTTTGCTCTGTGTTGAGTGGATCAATTTCTGCTACCGGAATGGCGTCTCTCATGTATTGGGTTAGTAGATCATCGTTGTGGTTGTACATATGTATGAAGTTGTGTAGAATAGCACAAATAAGTGGAATATCTATTTGTGTCTGTATCGGATAGTTATTAATGCACTTAAGAATACGAAACCTGGCTTTCTAGACGCCGAATGTGCGCTCGATACAGTTTCTGAGGGAAGAATGAGTGTAATTAAATAGCTCACGTTGAGTTTGGGGCCGACTCCTCCTTGCCCGATACTCTTGAATGTGGTAATTCAATTCGAGTGGGCTGTATTTGAGTGGGATACATGAAGTGAACGGGCCCATATTCTACAAATAAATACTTACAAAAAGAAAAAAAAAATAAGGAACAAGCTTTTCTTGAAGAAAAAAATAATAATAAAAAAAGAAATCGGTAGAATGACTGGCGCGTGTAACAGTGTAGTCAGACTGGTACTCGCGGGGTTCACCACTCGCTTTACAGTCAGTACTGGCCCAATCCCATTCCCACGTGCGAGCAGCCGTGTCTGTTTGCCACGTGTAATCCAGCCGTGGCTGGTGAATTCCACGTCACGTGGCCGTCCCTCGCCCTCCCTTAAAAGCCAGCCTCCCATTTCTTCTTCTTTCTTCTTTTTCTTTCTTCTCTTTCTTCTCTTTCTCTCTCTAAAATACTCTCCTTTCTCCCCAAGTTTTTCTTCCTTCTTCTTTTCAGGTGCTTCGCTTCGCAACAATTCAAACCTGAAAAAAGACTAATTTATGTTGGTTTTATTGGGAAAATTGTTTGAATTATTCCTTTCTTGCTGCAATTTCTCTTCGGGATTTGCGGATCGAGCCTTGGGAATCTCTCTTTCTGCTTCTTGGTGAGTCGCCCAACTCGTGCTGAGTCAACTCTAGGGTTTTCGCAATTTCTTTTTGGTCTCCATGGGGTTTGGATTTTTTTATTTTTGTTTGGTTGCTGAGAATATGGTTGGAAATTGAAATTAGGAGAGAGCGAGAGTAATGCGTGCTTTTACTTGTATGTTTCATTGTTTCCTCTCTTTTCGACTTTTTCTTTTTTGGGGTCAGAAAATTACTTTCTTTGCCGACTAAGTAGATTTGATTCATCAGCTTTATTTCTTGAAAATTCTCTTTTCCCGATCGTTCTGCATTTTCTTCTTTAGGAATTAGGTTGACTAGTTGGAATTTGCAGAGAAAGTTTTGTTTTTTTCTTGGTTTTCGTCTCGTTGCGGTTTGATTTATGCTTTAATAAGATGCTGTGTGTGGAATTATTGGAGACCTTTTTTATCTATCTGATTTCTTTAGGCAAACATGGGTTCATTTTTGTTTGGTTGCTGAGAATATGGTTGGAAATTAAAGTTAGGAGAGAGGTAATGCGTGTTATTACTTTTTTTTTTCTCTCTTTTCGACGTTTTGTTTGTCAGAAAATTACATTCTTTACTAGCTAAAGAAGATTTTATTTATCAGCTATATTTCTTGAAAATCTTTTCCCGATCTTTCTGCATTTTTCCCTTTGGGAATTAGATTGGCTAATTGGAATTTTCAGAGAAATTTTTGCTCTTTTTTCTTATTTTGCTTTCGTTTTTGTGGGGGGGTATTTTTTTCCTATCAGTTTATTTTATTTTCTTTTGTTGAATTTGGTGGAAATATATGGTTTTGGTTGCAGCTTGGAATTCTGAAGGGTTATTTTGCGATTTTTTGGTAAATTAAAGTCCCTTAGAGGCTTTTATTGTTTAAGTTGGGGGTCTGGGTCTCATGAGAATTGTCAGGGGAATGCAGAGATCGTTTTGCGAGGAGCACAAGGCGCTGGGAAGGAAGAAATCTTTCAGCAAAGGGATTGGCGTGACGGTTCCTAAGGCCAGAACGCGTGACAAACTTATGAATAGGCTTTTGGGTCTCTAAGTTTGGGGTTCTGTTCTGCGACATTTGGGACCTAAGAGTTTTTGCTTGACACCGATAATAATCATCATCAAATGCAATGACTCGGATTCTGGTTCAGCGAGGTTCCTCCAGCGGTTCTTCTTCGAACCCAGGCCGTTCTGGATCTTCCTCGGCTCGTGCTGAGCCCCAGGTTAATGTTCCTCAGGTTGTTCAAGCTGTGAAAGATGAGGAAAGTGTAGAGGAAGTGCAGGAACAAGAGGCTGTGGATGAGGTCATCGAGTGTTCTTCAAGTAGCAACAGTAAGGCGGCGAAGGGTGATGATCTAAGCTGTCACGCTGATCTGAAAGATACTTCAACTGATGGGACTGTTGTTACTGAGAGAGTTGGTAATGATTATGTTGTGAGTCCAGGGGAACCGCTGAAAGGTTTGAGTGGATCGAGAATTTTGGAGAGGGGGACAGTAGAGAATGAAGACGTGGGTGGCGATTCAACACAGAATGTCAGTGTGAGGTCACAGCCACCACCTCCTCCCGTTCCACCCCCAAAGCCTTCTGCGTCAAACTCAAATCCAAGGAGATTTATCTCTGGAAGTTCGCATGCTACGCGGATTGGACCATCTAGAAGACCAATTACATGGCCTCCTGTTTCAACCAGGACCTCACCCACTGAGTCACGGCCTTCTTCTCCCAGGTCTCATGGTGAAAATGAGGGGTACAATAGTGCCGATGAACAAAACCCGTGCTATGTATCTTCTTATGATGATGTTGTAAGTTTCCTGCTTTTTTTGTGCTACAACGACAGGAATGCTTTTGGCCTTTTTTTTTTTTTTTTTTTTGTTGAATCATATGGCACGATTTCGTTTCTGGTTTAATTAATGAGTATAAAATGCAGAACAATTGGTTAACAGTAGATAGGTTTTTCTCGTTGTTATATTGAAGATCCTTCTTTAAGTCTTATCAGTTCTTTTTTAGCTTAGAAATATGTAATCGACCTTATCTTATAAACTAAGTTTTCTATCCATTTGTTCTTTTCCAGTGACATTTCTGGTCTTCTGGATAACTTCGCTTCTTCTCTTTTCCCTTTTTCTGTTCATCTTCTTGTATCTGTTCGCTTGACTTCCGGTATTCATGATCACATCCTGTTCCTTCAGTTTCAACTCGGAAGCTTTTCTAATCCGTGCTCCTTTTCTGTTTGAATATGTGTGTTCAATATTTATCTGTTTACTCCATTCTATATCTATCTAGGGTTATAATTTTTATACTCTCCTCCTGTGAATTGGCTGTCATCATGCTCTAGCTGTTGGTTAATTCGGAATGTATCATAAACTCACCATTTGCTTATCTATTTCAGGAAAGAGAGCGTCAATTTGAAATTGATATAAGACGTGCAAAAGGTTTGGAAGTAAAAAAGATGCTGGAGGATGGGAATTGTCTCTTTCGTGCTGTTGCAGATCAAGTTTATGGGGATTCTGAAGCTTACGATGTGACCAGACAGATGTGCATTGATTATATGGTAGGTCTTAATATGTGATCCTTGTCTTAGTGCTATACTATGAAATGCAAAACAAGTTGTTTCTATGCTAATCTTAGTTGTTATATGAATGCGATGCGGCAGCTTTTATTTTATGTCCTTACATTCTCTACAACTAACAATTATTTAATAAAAAAAGAAAAGAGGATCCTATTTTTTATTGCTGTTCCTTTTTTATTATGAGGTTACTGGATGGATGCCATATTGTTGCCGTACTCTGCCATGCTTCATGTTATTTATTTGGTAGAAAATTTCCATGTGGCACATGCAGTTATGAATAATTTTGAATATTTGACTGGTTGAGTGAGTGTAGGATGCTATGACCGGGGGTTACCTCAACCACTTTTGTTCTGTTTTGTGGAATCGGATGTGAGTCGGATTAGATAACTTAAGAATTAATATAAGGCTGTCCAGTAACTGAAAAACAGACAAGTGGGAGAATGTTAAAGAAAGAAATATTGGGCATTCATGTTTGAGCTATGATGAGATCATTTGTGATTTTGATCAAAAAGCTATTATGAGATCATTCAACAAAAAAAGAAAAAAAAAAACTATTATGAGATCATTTATTCAGATATTGTGTCCTACCTGGAAAATCCAAAATGGAATCTAATTATATGTACTAGATTGGAAAGTCCTATTCTTCTCTTTCTCCGTCTCTATTTCTCTCTCTCTCCACCATTCTATCTTCCCACGTTCTACATCACTTGTTGTATAGTTTCGGATACAATAATGTTTGATTTTGTTTTCTAGTCTGTAGGCAGTAACTGTTTATCAAATTCTTTTGTTCTTTTTCCCGCATACTTTTAATTTACTCTCTTTTTTATTTTTTTTCCTTGCATATTCGTACTCTTTCTACCCAAGTATACACTGAAAAAGATTTATTATGAATAATTGAGTAGTATTTTGTATGTAGATATACTTGACTGAGGTTCCACTTTCATTTTGTATCTGCACGCTTGTATTGCTAGCTTTTGGCTACTTGAACGCATTTCAAATATCACACCATTGTATCTATTGTACTACCATATTATTGTTAACATATGAAATTCTGCTTTTATTTTTCTGAAGGTCCTTATATAATTCGGGATTTTCCTGTTAACTTGAGTCTCTTGCGTTGTGATTTATTGGTGTTCCTGACTACTAATGTTGCTTGTGAATATAATACTGGAAATCTTTTTCTATCCAGGAGCAGGAGAGGGACCATTTTTCTCAATTCATAACCGAAGGCTTTATGTCTTATTGTAAGAGGAAAAGAAGAGATAAGGTATGCAGAACTGTTACCTGGAAAGCCGTTTCCTCAATTTCAATTTGAAAGGATGGAATATTATATGTGTTGCTCCTTCCATTTGATATCGTTACTGTGTATTCTTCTTGGTTTGTCATCTTTTTAGCTCAAGCTCGTTCTTTCTTTTCATCCTTCTGTCCTCCCGGTTCATATAACTACTATTATATGTTTCCTGTACTAAATTACAAGAACGAAAAAGGACCTTAATCAGGAAACTAACTATCGAGTCAGAACAAAGGAGTGAAATAGATACGGACCCCAAAATCTCGATAAAAGAGTGTTTCCAGTATATGTAAAAATCGATGAAGGTACTGACATAGACCAGGAGCGATAGGTCTGGTAATCTTGACCTTGGGAAATGTCATCTCATCGAGATGCCGGAAGTATGGCGGTTTTGTATCAGTTTTATTTTCTTGATAAGAAACAAAGAACTTCATTAATATAATAAGTTACAAATGAAGTTCTCAGATGGATGAGAAAGCCATCTGAAACAAAAAGCAAAGAAATAACAAGAGGAGAACAAATATCATTTTTATTGGTTCCAGAGGAAATGTAAATGTTTATATTTCTTAGCATATAATATTGGGATGGATTTTTTTTGTTTAATTTCCCACTTCATCTCAAATATAGTTTGCCCTCCCTCTTCGAGTGGACAATTATGTTAATTTCTTAATGTTGACAGCATGGTAAATTTCTTATCTTCATTGCTGTTAAAATATGTTGAGACTTGAGAGTTAAACTAGGGGAGTAGGGAGGCATTTGAATCAGACTAGCGTAACTCACATGATAGTCAAATAAAGACTTCACGAATAATGCCATAAAACAAAGAAAAGAAGGGGAGATCAATACTGGTCTTCAGCTGTTTTAACATTTTGGTTTGAAGAGAAATAATCTAAGGTTTCCTAGTTTAAGTACCTAGTGTTAGTCAATCAACGGAACGGTCACATTGATTCTGATCAAGGGATGGAAGGCATGGAACTTACAGATGTTAAATTATGGTCATATGGGTAAGTTCCTTATGGTAATGGTTGATCGAAGTTTATGCAGATTAATTGTGAGACGTGTGAAGGTTTAGAACTTGCAAATTAATGGACACAGAGATGATAAGAGCTGACTAATAGGAGAAGCCACCATGGTTTTTCAATGATGTGGGTGCAAGTACAGATTGAAGAACTGGCCTTTCAGTTTCCTCATGGGCCAATAAAGAGAGACTCCCACCCCCCCTCCCTCCTCTCTTTTCATTAACTTTCAATCATCTTAGGTCATATTAGCTTACTCAATAGTCAGTATTATTGTTAAACTTATTTTCAAGATTTCCGGTCTTCGAGCAGCAATATTTCCACGTACATACTTTTTTAATTGAAATTTGTTTGTGGCTGGAATTACCTAACCCTGTATGCTTTTAACATTGATTTTCTTTTTATGTGTGGATGTATTTTGATATTTGTGTCATCTGTGGCAGGTATATGGAAATAATGTGGAGATCCAAGCCTTATCTGAAATGTATAATAGGCCTATCCATATTTATTCCTATAGCACAGGTGCGGCTTTATTTACAATGAAAATTGATTTTGTTCTACTTAAGATGATTGCTGATTTGAGCATTATACCATTTTTCCTAACCATTTCCTTATATATATATATATATATATATATCTATCTATCTATCTATCATCCAGAACCTATCAACATATTCCATGGAAGCTATAACACAGACACACCTCCCATTCGGCTAAGTTATCATCAAGGAAATCACTACAACTCTCTTGTTGATCCACGTCGATTAACCATCGGTGCAGGGCTTGGGTTCAGTTGTCTTCGTGGGGTACGTTATATTTCTTTCCATCTACACTTAGTTTTGTTTATATGTTTCTTTGTCGTCTTGTGTTTGTGCATGATTTTGGGGATCCCATGAGTTGTGGGGGAGGGGCATGAGAAACATATGGGGCAAGTAGCTATCAGAGTTTAAGGACTGCCTGCTTTGTTTAATACCAAGCTAGCATTGTATTTTAGTGGTTGACTTCCAAATGACAATTTGTTTGGGGTTTTCTGTGCAGACAAATGTTGACAAGGATCAAGTCAAGGCCGCCATTAAAGCTCAGCAAGACCAACAGATTGATAATGCATGTGCTTTGAATGTTTTGCAATATGGTTTTTATGTGCATTTGACCTATTGTATTAATGGTTTTCCCCCTCTTCCCCGCGCCTTTCTTTTATGACAGGCACTTTTAGCTGAGGGCCGATTTTATTCAGATCTCGAGCTTACTGAGAAGGAAATTGAGCGCATGGTGATGGAAGCATCAAGAGCCGAGTATCTTGCAGATGATACGTTTAAGCAACAAATAGGCCGCATAGAGTCTTCTACATCCAATGCTGAGCCATCATCTTCTGGAGCTAGTGAGTATTCATTGTTTTCCACACAAGTTAAAACCATACCTATGTTGGGAAGTTCTCGTTGTTTTTAAAGACTACAGAGTTAATATTGTTGATCTAGTTTTCTCTACATAATTTTACAGGAAAGGATTTGTTTCGGAAAAATAAATTTATTGAAATTCAATCATTAGATGTTTTCTTTCTCCTGTGAATTTGAAGAAAATTGTATTGCTGTCATAAAGATGCATGGACTCTGGTCAATTTTCTGCTGCTTACTTTGCGAATTAGGATTGTCTTGCTGACGATAAGTCTAAGTAACAGGATCGTCGGGCAGCGATACAAAGGTGGAAGGAGGAAAGGACAGTGGCTTGCGGGAGTCTGTCCTTAGCAGCAGCATGCAGTTGGTTCTTTCAATGGGGTTCAGCTACCTGCAGGTGATTGAGGCATACAGTATCTTTGGGGATGATGCTGATTCTATGGTCTGTTACTTGTTAGAAACAAGCAGCAGCAGCAGGCGCAAAGGCAAGGCAACTGAATGAGCAAAGCGACGATTGTACCGAGTTCTTTGTGGCTAAACTTTGGCACAAAATGAGAAGGAAAAAAGTGACTCGTGGCTAATGGAAAGTCTATGATCCCGTGAGAGCTATAAATAAATCATAGTATACTATTAACAATTCTTGCCCGAAGTTGTATATCATTTGGTTAGTTCAATCAGCAAATGATATATCGATCTCTAGCATTTTATCATCTAAGTTTATATCTAAAAATTCATCTGGTATGATTTATGATAAATCAGACGGCTGGTTAGTATTTAGAAGTCTTCCAAGTATGTGACTATAGGTTAGGATTTAAGGGTAGGAAATTACACTAGTGCCGTCTAGTTTTTGTCAAAATTATCGACGCCTTTTGACCAATTATATATTTCCGTTAACATCCGCTGATACCAACTCCGGATAGTTATTGGCCGTGTTTGAAATTGATCCCGTTTTTATTTTTTATGTTTTTTGAAAAAGAAAAAATGAAAACGTTTTTAAAACGGCGTTTAGCGTAATAAAGATGAAAAATGAAAATGAAAATAATATTTTAATTTAGTGTCAAATGTGAAAAAAATAAAAAATAATTTTTAGTCGTTTTTTATTTTTTATTTTTATTTTTTCATCTCTTGAGAGAGAAAGAGAGACATTAATGGGTTTTTTTACACTGAAAATAATATCTTGATAAAATTGTCAAACACATTTTAAAAATGATTTATGTTTGAGATTGAAAATGTTTTTATTTTTATTTTCATATAAATAAAATTATTTTAAAACGAGCTCTAAATGCGTCCATTAATTTTCGTAGTTTTGGAAATGAAAAGACCAAAAACCAGAATATTCTACTCAATTCCAATGGATTATTACTATTTATCTAACCCTACATTGTCACTGTCAGTTAAGTTATATCTTTGTTTTAAACATTTAAATATACACCACCAAACTTTCGTTCATTCATTGATCATTCAGTTATGCAATGAATTCTTCAATATTCAAAACAGAAAATCCTCTCTCAATGTAGCAATTGTAAGAATGAGTCCCAACTTCACAAGTATATAAATAAATAATTATTAATGAAAAATGATCATTAAAATATCTATCCACTGTTTGAAAATGACCATATGAAGTAACAAATAATTTGGATTTTTTTTATTAAAGTAATTGACGATTTAATTGATGAGGACATACGTGTTTAATTTCTATAGATGAAAGGGAACATAAATATTTTAGATTAATCCGTGCCTTTAAATTTTGGGATTATTTTCACTCTACTTTTTAAATTTTAAAAACTTAGTTTGCTTCTTAATTTTGAATTTATCTCGTTTAAGCTTGTTTGTAAGAATTTCTGCTGAAATCAGATGGAAAATAAAAGGGTTAAGTGTGATCATATAATTTTTATTTATTTATTTTTAACAAAAATTCAAACACAAAGACTACGTGATTATATTACTCTTCTTTCGTATTTGTTTTTATAAAAATTACAATATAATGAGTTAAGCATGAACAATTTAAAATTTAAGAAATAAAATGAGAGTTTTAAAATTCGAATGACAAATTGAAAATGACATTAAAGTTTAAGAGCACCAACAATAATAATCCAAATATTTTTCTTTTCCTAAGGATTACAGGCAAAGAAAAGATAAAAGAATCCAGGCGATAAGCTCCGTCTGCCACGGCAGGCATAATGTATGTACACGAATTTGGAACAAAATGTACATTAAAGATGCATGAATTAAACTAGAACCATGCTGGTTACCATGCAATCTATTACCAACTCATGCAATTTGAGAAACCACCGTTCATTTTACACATTCAAGTTTAGAATTCGTGTTTTGCTACAGTAAAAATCTTTTAAAAATAATCATATTTAATTTTTTTACTACAGTAAAATACTCACATAAAGTCACATCTCAAGTCGAATTAAAAATTCTAATTAAGTATTGTTTATTTCACCGATTCGAGTTTAAGATTCTAATTTTATTACAGTAAAAAACTCTCAGAAACAATCACATCTAATTTTTTTGTTACAGTAAAAATTTTCACATAAACTCACATCTCAACTCAAATTAAAAACTCGAATCAACGAACTAAATAAACTCTTAAGGCTCGTTCACTTCGCAAATTTAAATTTTTAATTAGAACTGAAATGTGACATTTTTTAAGAGTTTTTCATTGTAGCAAAAAAAAATTTCGATGTGACATTTTCTGATAATTTTTTACTATAGAAACTTAAAATTGAAAACTCGAATCGGTGAAATGAACGAGACCTTAGTATGATTGAGAGAGAGATTGCTCTAAACTCAACAGAAAATTCAAATTACCCCAAATCAACCCTTAACACAAGAAAATCTATCTCGCTTTCTTCCTTCTCCATGTGGCACACTTCTGTCACATAATGACAACGGCTATCTCTTCATCAACAATAGGTATGGTTTACGCCGGTTGACTCTTGACGAACCGCTCGATGTCGGCGTCTAGTTTATCGCCGGCCTCAAAGCTCCATAATCTCGCTGTGCCGTAAAAAATCAAAACAAAAAAAGAAAATCGGTGGAACTGATCAGTGTTGGTTGATTCGACATTTTTTTTCCAGTTAAAGAGTGCGTTTAGGATAATCCCATAAATAAACTGGCGGAGCCATATTCGGCCTAGTGGGGGCAGCTACCCCACTGACCTAATTGGCTCATTTATATTATAACACTAAAAATATATTTTTTTACAATTTAATATACATATATTTCGAACTAGAAATACCAATTAAATAAAAAATCAATCATAAAGCGTAAACTACAAAAATTAAATTAAACTGAATTAAAATAATCATAAAGTCGTTTTAGTTGAAAGTTTTTGTTTAATTCTGGCTCCGCCACCAGGGTGGTGATAGAGGCTAATCTCATGGAGGAGAGCACGACGTTGTCCGCAAGTACGCCTTCATCGATGTTTGGCCTTTCCAGGTCTGTTTGGCTGTCGGGAAAATACCGACAACAACAAAAAATTTAGGCAACAATGATTTAAATTTAATTGATTTAGATTTGGCTTTTGTTGTTTTTTTTATTTTTCTGGAATTTTTGAATGTCTTTTGTTGATCTATTTTGTGTTTCCTTCGTTCTGGATTTGATTTCGAAGTTATTCTTTTGTTTAACGAGCTTTTCATGATTATTGTTTTTTTTAAATGAAATAAAAAGGTTAAATTAGTAGACCTTTGGTTTATAAATTCAGAATTATTTTTTATTTATGTGTATTTTTTATGTGAAAAAATATTGTATCGAACTACGAATTATAGTACGAATATATCAACCAAACAACCCATGTCTTTTTAAAAATTGGCGCGAAATGAGTTTGTCACGATTACGCTTTCCCGCTAAGAAGGTCGCGCTGTTTATCTCTTTTGCGCTCTTATTTGTTTTTCTATTCCTCGCCATCTATCACATTCCCATTTCCCTCCAAAACCTCAACAACCATGCCCGCCTTTGCCAAGCGCAAATCTTCTCCCCTCGCCGCCGGGGCGGAGCTTCGCGACTCGATGGATCTCCGTTCAGAGAACACCGGATGCTCTCCTCAGAAGCGAAAGCTGAGAACTAACTCATCACCAATGAAGGCGAGTTCGATCTCCACTCCGATGAAAAGGACGTCGCCTCGCCGATCTGCCAATGCCAACCTCAACTCTCTCGAAAACGTGAGTTCCAATGATAATCACTGGTTAATTGAATAATTGACGAAGATTAACTTAAGTGCTAATTTTTTTCGCTGTAATTGTTATTTTTTTAGGGAATTGAGAGTAAGATCTGTGAACGGCTTCCTAAGTTGCGGAAATCTCCAGTGAAGTGTTTGTTGAACGATTTTACTGCCAAGCCGAATTGGAATCCGACAGGTGAGAGTGTGTTTAATTGAGTTAATGTGTTGGCATTTGATGAAATCCGAGTAATTGATTTGACTGGAAAAAAGTTTGTAGATGCGGAGCAAATTAGGTCTGTGAAGAAGGCATTGCACGTATCTACATCACCGTTGGCTGTAGTTTGCCGCGAAGACGAGCAAAAGAAGGTGTTGGAGTTCTGCAAATCATGCATAGAACGGGAGAAGGCCGGGAGTTTATATGTCTGTGGGTGTCCTGGGACTGGAAAATCATTGTCAATGGAAAAAGTGAAACAGCTTTTGCTTGATTGGGCACAAGAGGTGAGATTTCTGTTTTTTTGCCTAAAAAATAGATCATTTTATTGTTCTGAATTTGTTTACTAATATATGGGACTCGTATTATTGTTTTCACTACCAGACTGGACTGGAAAAACCGGACGTATTAGCCATGAATTGCACCTCTCTTACAAACACTAGCGATGTTTTCAGCAAGGTACTGATGCTTATAGAAAATTATATTGCTTATTGAAAAGAGCATACACTTAGCCGCAGTTTTCCTGGGCAGATACTTGGTAAAGACCAACCGCGAAAGAGAAGTTATGGCTCTACCTCACCATTGCAGCTTCTCCAGAACTTATATTCACAGAAATCGCAATCATCTGGCAGGAAGATGATGTAACCAACTTATCCTTAGTCTGATATGATTTTTACATTCACAGTCAATGTCATCTTTATTTCATTGCAAAGAAAAATGCGATCAGTAGTGTCTCTTTGGCATATTTTAAGTGTATTGAAGCTCTTCCATTTTATCAGGATCATAATTACTGATGAGTTGGATTATTTGATTACTAAAGATCGGGCAGTGCTTCATGATCTTTTCATGCTCACAACATTGCCATTCTCTAGATGTGTACTCATAGGTACTATTTACATGACTTCCTCGTAGTAAATCTCTACTTGGATTGGATATGAAATCCTGAAGTTTTCCGATCTTTTGAGGTTCACATCATTTTCTTTTTGCAGGAATAGCAAATGCAATAGACCTAGCTGACCGCTTTCTTCCGAAACTTCAGTCATTAAATTGTGAGTGCAGTACTTGCTTTAATTGCATATGTTCTGTGCCTTGCAATACACTTTCATTGTTTTGTTCTGTGATGAAACAATTTTGATTGTCCTTTTGCCAACGCCTTTTGACGAACATAACTTTTCTTCCTAGCTGGCTGCATTCTTGAGTAAGGATTCCTATCTTTTTGTGAATTATGAACAACCATGAGTAATACAACATTTTAAGTTTCTGGATATTCTGAAATTCTTCTCCTGGTGAAAGTCTTCTCCTGGTTATGAAATCATGGCAATACAAATACGACTGTTTTAACATAAATTTGGCATTGGGCATATATCTGTTTCCTTTCTTTTGAGTGCCTACCTATAACTTGTTCTGATTTTTCCCCCCCTCGGCTAGCAAGATTTCCTGAACATGTTAGGTCTTCAACAGTAATTTCTCAGTCTTATTGCCTTGTCCTTGATTTATATGCATTTTGTTACTTTTTATCCACTTATGGGTATAGAGCTGAGGAAAGAGTACTTTCCCACCCTGGCCCCATGCTCCAAGTTTGGTTACAATTCTGTGAAAAAACAATCAGCTCCCCTCTTGGTTAAGTGTCATACTGATTCTGTAGCATCACTTTATTGTTGCAGGCAAGCCTGCAGTTATAACGTTTCGAGCATACTCCAAAGATCAGATCCTTAAGATTCTTCAAGAGCGGCTAACAGTAAGATATTTTGTTAATTCATGTTATAATGTTTTCAATTTCTAAAATGGTCACTGTCAACTTGAACGAGAGTTTTCTTTGGTTTCTTTTCCTTTCAAATACTTGAATATAGATTTCTGAGGGTGTAGATTTTAAGAAAATTTTTATATGTTGAAGATAAAGTTTCTATAATTTCTAAATCTCATTATCAGTACGTATGTTCTAGCAGGCACTACCTTACACCATCTTTCAACCGCAAGCTCTGGAGCTTTGTGCCAGAGTAAGTTTACCAAGATCTATCCCTAATTAATTGCAGTTTAACATTTTTTCACTAAGTTAGCAAATCCTAAAAGTAATTTTTTAGAGATGATTAACTATATCAAAATGGCAGAAAGTTGCTGCTGCATCTGGGGATATGCGCAAAGCTCTTTGTGTTTGCAGGTCAGTGTTGTCATAATTGTTCTTTTTTCTTTTTTCTTTTTTTGGTTTTTTGTTTTTTTTTAATCTATTGCATAGCCAGATGAATTATAGATGCAGTTAACAGAACTTAGTCTCATTATGATTTGATAAATGATGAATTAGTTTTTCGAATAAGTTTTGTATGTGATTAGAAGCCTTTTGAAGGATTTACATCGTGTAATGTCAAGAAGATCAAACCTAGGCAATTTTTGCAAATTCCAGATCCATAATAGAATCATGGCCTTGTGGACTTGTACCGTGATTTCGACGTTTCAGTCCTTTTTGCATCTAATTTAACATGTTGGACATGCCTAATCAGAGTTTGCTTCAGGCTCTATTATGGAATTTCTATAACTTAATTGTGTGACAGTATATTTAAATTGAAAAGCAGACATGAAAATTAGTAAAAAGACCTTGGAATTCAGGTCTGAAACTGCAAATCAGCGCTTTAACTTTTTTTTTTAATCCACTTTTCAGGAGCGCAATTGAGATGCTAGAGGCAGAGCTAAGAGAGTCTTCCAACAACTTCAATGGTTCATCTATAGAGACGGCGTTCTTTGAGTCGCAGATTGATCCACACGCGGCAGTCGTGAAAAAGCATGAAATTGATATCGTAAGTGTTCCCCAACTTTTTGGAACTTGATGTGCATTTTGCAGATCCTTTTTCCTCTTATAATAATCTATTAGGAGATCGTGCGAGGCAATTAGCGTGTATACTTGTAGTTTCGAATCACGAACTGGCAAAATCTTTGCTTAATTATATACCAATAGTTCAAATAGTATAACCTATACCATGCTTATTTCCATATTTTCTTTTCAATCAAAAGTCCCCGAACAATTCTTGTTGCAGGTAGGGATTGATCACATGGCTGTTGCTTTATCAAAGACATTTAAGTCACCAGTAGTGGACACCATACAGTCTCTTCCGCAACATCAGCAGGTAATTTTGCAAATAAGATTCCAGTATTACATGTTATCTACAAACATATTTGTTTTATTTCGTAAACACCATTACAGGTCTTTTCTACTCATCCTGCTTCCTTAACCACAGATCATACTATGCTCTGCTGTGAAGCTTTTCCGCGGAGGAAAGAAGGATACAACAATAGGGGAGGTAAGTTTCCTACTTATCATTTCAGGAAGCAGCTGCCGCTCTCATTACTGATTTTTGTACCTTTTGAATGCATACAGCTGAACAAGTCTTACGTGGAGTTCTGCAAATCAGCATTGATCCCACCAGTGGGAATTTTGGAACTTTCAAATATGTGCAGGGTGCTAAATGATCAGGTACTGGAATGAAGTTTGATATTTTTGTTTAATTACATTACAGTAAGCTTTGGGAAAAAAAAGAGGGTTGCTGAAGCAATATTTTCCAAGCACTGCAGGGGCTACTAAAGCTCGGTCAATCTCGAGAAGAAAAATTCAAAAGAGTGACTCTAAAAGTAGATGAAGCGGATATCAGTTTTGCATTGCAGGTATAACCGTCAAGTATAAGCCATCTATGCGTTCGGCTTTATACGTTTGTTAACACAATTTCATGTAGCCTTTTGGCCTTTTGCTTGTTTATTTATTGCTTATTTATGCTAAACAGGGAATCCGTTTCTTCCGAAACTGTCTTCAGTAAGTTTTGCAAAAAGTAGTCCTGATTCTTTTTCGCTTGATTTCGGTGGTTTCTGTTTTCAAGTTCTCCATCTGCTCCAACTACAAGGTTAGAGAATCGAAATTGCTTTACGTTTGTCCCTAAATGCTTTAACTTGCCTCTAGAATTGCATTCTTTTCTTATTCATGATTTATATAATCAAATTGTACTCAAATAAAGTGTTCTCAATGCTTTAAAAAATAGCATTGTTAGTTCTGAAAGCTATCGACCACTAGGAGGAACAATACTTCATGGCGTCTAATTGAGAAATGACTATAAAGGGCAGTAAACTAAGGACCCTAAAAATATCAATAGATTTTTTTTTCTTTGTACGCTCAATCCTACTTTTTTTTTTTTTTTTTTTTTTTTTTTTTTTTTGGGGAAAAAAAAAAAAAAAACTTTTTTAAAAATTTTTCCCTTTTTTTTTTTTTTTTTTTTTTTTTTTCTGGGGAATGAAATACAGAATGCATTTATAGAATATTTGCCAATTTAATTGTCGATTTTAATCTCCATGTATTTTTTTTGTCGCATTCTAATTTTATTATCATTTTATTATGATTGCTATCGTTTCCTAATTCCTACTTTGATGTTGTTACTTGTTTGTTCACCTTTTCCGTTGTCGTTTTCTTTTTTGTCGTTTATATGTTAGTGTGATTTTACGTCCTTATAATTTTACTGTCGTTTCCCATACTTATGTCGATTATTTATTATTGTTATTTAGCTCGTTGTCATCTTATTTTATTTTGTGGATTAACGCGTTGTTCGTCTCCTTTATTCGTCGTTTTCTGTTTGCTAGGATTGCCAGTGTGTTGTCGTTTACGTTTTATTGTCGTTTTTCTAAAGCATGTGATGTTAGACTAACTCGTGGTGTTTATTACCCTTTTTATATTCCTTCCAGGTTTCCTAGTTAACAGCTCTCGAATTTTGTTTTCAGGTATACAAGTACTTTGGCAAGAATTTATTGTCTAAAAGCTTTTATGCAGATGATAAAGGCTTAGAACCTCGCAAGGAGAATTTGCAGCGCATGGCCGTTTCCAGCAAAGTGTTGATTTCTAACATTTTTTTTTCTCTTAAAGAAACAAAAAAAAAAAAGAGAAATTAGTGTAGATCGATTCTAAAATGTAACATGGTCATAGATTTAAAAAAAAACAAAAACAAAAGAAAAAAACATATTGAGCGGATGTTTTGTACCAATAAGGAAACAATAAAGAAAAGTTGTCATCTTGGAAAAAAAATTTTTCCGCAAGTTTCCCAGGTCGTGTAGCCATTTATTTCTCAGCTAGTTATCATTTGATAATACTCTTTTCAGCTTACACTTGAGTACCCGACTGAGGATTAAAATGTGCTTCTTTGCCTAGCTAGGACAAATAGGATATATTTCCATGCCATAACTCACGGGTAAGCATCATTCAAGTTAATCCATAACCCAAGGCAAGGTATATGATTTACGCAGAATATTTGTTTGTTAATGCAGATTGAAAAAACTATTTAACTGATGGCTTGTATTTAGCATTGCGTGGGACCAGACACCTAAGGCCACTTGTCAACCATTCGGTCAAAGCATCACAATAATTCAACACTAGAAACACAAAAAGTAAATTCTAAACAAAAGCATCTAAGATGGCACGACCATGGCTACAAAATCGGAAGACTCATACAAAGATGAAAAAACCAAGCACAAAGTGCAGGCTGTGAACAATTCTCATTTTCAAAACACAAACACCGCAAATGTATTTAATTCATTTTTGGAGTTTTTAGTTTTCATACGTATTTAAAGAATTTTTTTAAAAAGAAATAAAATTATTTTAGTACTCCAGCCAAACATTTTATAATATCTTTGTGTTTTCAATAAATATTAAAACGGCATCTTTACCTTTAACGAAAGATTTTTTCAGTATCCAAAACTGATTTTTAAGACATAACGTCCAAACTGCCCTTCTTTTTAAGGACAAACTGCCCTTACCATTTTCATTAATTAAATAGAAACTAACAACTTAAAAAGATATTTTCTAAAAACATTTTTAACTTATTTTGGTTTTTTAAGTTAAATTTTCCCATCCTTGTGTTATGAAGAGAAAGGAGGTCCCAGTTAGCGTACGAACAACAAGAGGGTAAATTGAAGTCATATTGATTATGAAAACTAACAAAGCAAAAAAAAAAAAAAAAAAAAAGTTTTTGTAGTCATCAAATATTTACAGATCGACCTCACCAGGCCCGCACAATGAAATGGGACCAAGAGAATCACCTTACAAAGTGGCAAGATACTAAACTCATTCTTTACATTTCCCCAGTTCTTAAAACATCTAAACCCCAACACCATGAAACAAACTACAACACCATAAGCAAGCATAGAAGAACCATGCTAAGAAACAGGCCCAAGTACTCCAAGATAATCACCATCCAAACTGACCAATGCCTGGAATTCCCTTTCAGCTTCAAGCCACTTGGTCGCTATGACCATGACCCGAACCACGACATCTTTCTCAATAGTAGGTTGCGACTCACTATGGAAGATTGGGTTCTCACCAGCCGAATAAGTATAACCAGGCATTTTGTTGTATGAAAGATATAAATTTTCCACCGGCCCACATCTTAGGAAAACTCCATGCTTCAGCACCTTGTGAACAACACCCTCTAGTATCTCCCCCCTGAAAATCTTGAATGTAACACCACTGAAGACAACCGGGAACAACACATCCCCAGTCAGCTGCCTTACTTTTCCCTCTCCTACATTATCCAAAGTCGTGACAGCGAGAACGTATCCAAGATCTTTAGTTGCCCTTTTAGCAGCAAATTCACCCATAAGACGGATGATAATCGATTTCTGAAGCATCAATCCGTTCGTGTCCAGGCTCTCAGCAGGAATCACAACATTCCAGGGCAACTGCACTTTGAGAAACATTGTTCTTACTCTTCCAAATATCTGTCACAAAAAAAGGAACATCATTTCGAGGTAACAGTCACGAGTGAGACAATGCTAGCAATCAAAGCATCAACATTAGTTAAAGAGTACTTTTCAGCATCAAATTTGCAGTAATCAAACACAAAATGCATCCAACACTTTTAGGACGCAATGCACTGACATCTGAAGAATGAATTTTTAAAGACTCATTCTTGAGACATCAACATAGTTAGCTGTGTATCGATGTTTGCCAAAATAAGAAAGCAGAACATGCTATTGCCTACTAGCAAAGTATCGATCATTTTATTTGCAAGTTAAACCTCACAGAACTGCAATCCAAATTTACCAACCAAATTGATAAAATAAACATTCAAAACCGTCTAGTCTAACCAATTTCCCTTTTTCTTTCTTTCTTTCTTTTTCTTAACCTGTAGAGCACTATTTTTCTCGCAGAATTAAAGGGTGGAAAAATAGAACCAATATACACGCTCAAACAACATTCCCCCAGCAAAAAAAAAAAAAAATCCTCTGTTGTACAGAATACAAATATCAAACCAATTTCACAAATCTCAAAGAAATCTCAGACATTAACAATATCCAATTGAAATATAATATTATTCTTCAAAAAATTGTCAAATAATAAACAAAAAATCACAAACAGCTAAACACAAATTAATAAAAATAGCAACTTTCACCAATATCAACCAAAAATCACAATAGCAATTTTCAACAATCAAACATATTCCAAATACATCAATCAATTATCAACAAATTCCATAATAAAAAGATTCCATAAACTAACTTCCATTTCATAAATTTGTCAAAATTTCAAACACAAAACTTCAATAATCTAAGCCCAACTTCAACTTCAAACAAAAATGATGAACACAACTGAAGCTCTTTTCATTCTTATAGTCAACAACTTGATGAAAATCTCCTCCTTATCACTCTACTGTTTTCTGTTTTCCCCAAACAGACCTGTGTATTATCTCCATTGTTCCCAGTCCCACTCACTCCTCAATGTCTGCATCTCATCTATACAAGGCAACCCACTTTGAAAATTATAGCAACAATATAACCCTTATTATCCATCCAATGAGCTAAGATTTCCATTCCAAAGCAACCAACGTTGAGATTTGTAAAATCTATGAAATCTTATCATAGAAAGAAGCAAAGGGAGGGAAATGAACGATTATAACAGAAATGTTCACATCTCCTTAAAGACTTGGTTTTTCCACCACAAAATCCCAACTTCAAACAAAACTTACAAAAAGTCACAAACAGAAAACCAACTGTGAAGGAGCTTGGCTTCAGGTGGCTTGAAATCGGTTCACAAAAATGCTAGGAGGTAGAGCTCTATGGTTTTTTTTCCCCCCCCTTTTTCAAAATGCACTTAAACCAAAAAATATTTTTCTCTTATTTCTATTATTCTTATTTGTAACAGTTTAGTAGTTTTATTTCTCTGATACGGAGAATCACAATGCAAAACAAGCTCAAATATAATGTAGAAAGCATGTTTGCAAAGGGGTATGTTAATAATATTATGCCATATATCAATTAAAATGTTACACAAGATGTTTTATTTTTTAACACTTAAAACAAAATGTAATTGAGACTATATATAGGAGCTTTCTGCATGTACCATAAATAACTAATAAAACTAAAAACTCCATTGCCCATTTTATTTTTTTATTTTTCAACCAAATCTCTAATTAAAGATGCATAGAACTCCAAATCACAAGATACTTGGGATAATATAATGAATAAAAAATGAAGACATACTATACTTAAAGGTCTAAGGCTTACCCCTGAGAAGCACAACGGCGACAGCGAGGTGAGCACGGCGACGTGGGAGCAGCAGTGAAGAGAGGAGAGGGTGGCTTATAACTTCTAAGGAGGGTAGGGTTTATGAATTGTGTTTTGATTTTGATCGATAAAATTAAAATATAGGTGCTAAATACAAGATTTTTATTTTTATTTATTTATTCATTTATTTTTTGAAAAACTGAATACAGGCTCTGAACGTGTGTTAATTTTTTTTTGGGTTATTCTTTAAAATAGGGCTCTATTTTATTTTTACCCTTATAAAATTATTCATATATTTCTATTTTTAGACTAGAAGTCTAGAATTAGTTAAAAAAATAGAATTTTTTAAAAGAGATATTTTTAATAAATTAGGTATTTAATATGATAGAATTTGTAATTTTTTATTTTTTTTATTTGTGTAACTCATTTTATGACTAATTAAAAAGATTTTTTTTTTACATATAGAAAATAATTTTATTAGACAAATATTTAACAAATAAGGATTGTTATTACACGTGCCCTAAATTTTAAGGTTATTCTCAATTTACTCTTAAACGTTAAAAGCTCTCACTTTACTTCATAAATTTTAAATTGTTCCCACTAAAAAAAACTACATGATTGTTCTTTTGGAGTGTAACTTGAGTGTAATTTTTGAGTAGAATTTGAATTATAACTTGAGTTGAAATTGTAACTTGAATAAAGTTGAGTAAAGTTGAATAAAGTTAAAACTTAAAAGAACATGAACTTAAATAAAGTTAGAACTCGAGTTGTCTTTTTTTGAGTTTTTTGGACAAAAAATCATGCCCTACATTACCACACTTAACTTTCTTTTTTCCCAATTTGATTTTAATAGAAATTCTTATAAAAATACTTAAATAGACTAATAAAATTTAAGAGGCAAAGTTTGAATTTTTTAAACCCTTGTTTGTTTCAGTAATTCTAACCCAACAATTCAATTCAGATTGTTGTTTAAAGTTCAAATTGATGTTTGGTAGAAAACTAAATGAAGACAATTTAAAACATTAACAATAGTTCAAACTATTAATTTTAAAATTTAATGGCTGCTTTAATATTTATTAATCAATAAGTATAATTATTTTAACCGTAAGATATTCATCCGACAGTTAAAATAAATAAGATAGTTAACTAACAAAATTTATAATAATTAATAAAATTAAATACTTATCACACCACGTCATTAAATTTTTATATTTATATTTAATGAATAATCATAAATGTAACTATTAAAAACTCACCCCTATATATTAAATGCAAAAATATCTGTACCCATCGGAAAGGTGACAGCGCCTTTTTCACTTGTTCAACATAAAATCTTCTATCACTTGTCTGGTTAGGCGCAAATGGAATTCACTTTAAAAGCAGTCATAATCCTTGGCAGCAAGAAAACTTCCAGGATTGATACATGGTTGAAATGTGAATCGTTAACAAAATTTTTCTAGCACCTCAATAGTTCTCATCCTGACACTAATAATGAACATCTAAACAAGACAGACCGGATCATCCTTCGTGTCATGAACTAACCAAGACATCGCTTAAACTAAAAATGAACTCATGATCTGCAATTTTAATCTGAACTACATGGAAGAAACTTTGATATCAAGCTGTTTTCACTTTCCGAGAAGGAGGTCTTCGGAATATACTGATTAGATCATCAAGACCCTGTTCGAACAGCATTGTCAGTGATTTTGCATATTCAAATGTCTAGTATGTTCAATGCAGAGGAAGAATATGTTAGGATCCTGATTGAGTTCCGCATTGCTAAAGTATGGGCTTAGCATAACATACCACCACGCTTCCGACACCGACGTCCACGGCGGCCCACTCTGGATGACCCACTCTGGCATTTCCAGGTTTCCCCTCGCCAGGTCGCCCCTTCCGCAACGTGGGCCTGAGGAGGAGCATGCTCTGATACTAATTGTTATAACCTTTGGGTAGAACTCATCCCCAAAAGTTAGCTTGTAGGGAGAAGGTGCCCAAGTGGGTTATAAACTCACATGCTAAGCCCATATTTTAACAATGCGGGACTCAACCAGGATCCTAACAAAAAACTGGTAGAATGCAATAGAATAATCTATCAAATAGTAGAAAGGATAAGTGTGTACCCTAGTTGTGATGACAAGAAAACTGAATAGCACAATCAAGTACGATCCCAGGACTAGAAGCAACAGCAGGTCGAATGTCACGCTAGCAACCTGTTATAAGATGCTCGAATATATGATCATGAATTGATGATAACCATAAAACTAGAGGCGAATGACTGCCCGTAGTAAATCGGTATACAAAGTAATCTAACTCTCAAGAAAAAATGTGACAGAGAAATGGCATATTATTTTAAAAAGTAATATTAAATTGCAAAGGCCAAAGGCAAGCGCAAAATCACACAACATTGATGTTTAATACCTGATATATGTTAAGCCTAGCTTTAGATGAATCATAAAAAGTGAACATTCCATCGAGCACCTCATGTTGCAAGCTCACTTCATGAGTATGTTCTTCTAATTCCTGTCGATGAAAAACAAAATGTCATGGGTCAAAAAGGAGATACAACGCAAGGAAGAAGCAAAGACCCGATATTCAAATACGACCTTTTCCTTTCAAGAGAATATATATTACTATTTCTCCTTCGGGAATTGCTATTGAGATCTTAAAAGGAACAAAGTGCCGTTCATTGGAAAAGAAATCCTAAAACCAATAATATTTTTTTTAAAAAATGCATTCAGATTCAGAATGTACCATAGTAGTCTTGCTTTACATATTAATATCAAGAAAATAAAAGGACCATGACATATCATTTTCCAGAAACACCCAAAAAAAAGGAAAAAAAAAAAAAAAAAAAAAAAAAAAAAAAAAAAAAAAATAAAAAAATGATAAAAACATACCTATTTCCCTTTTTTCAAATAAATTCCGAAAGGACAGAGGTACTAGATGAATGGTATATATTGTAATTCGTATCGTAAATTTGAGAACCTATGTATCTTTTGATATGTACGCTACATATGTATACATTCTTGAATTGCATTCTAGACAGAAACTCAATGTACTAAAAAAAAAAAAAAAAAAATTGTACGAACATATAATCATATAGATTGTAAAACCTTTTGTAAAGCCAAGACAAGTGGATCGTTCTTCGACATGAATGGAGCCACTCGAGGTGTTCTTGACAAAAAATCCAACCACGACCTAATGTAAAAGGGATTTACAGCTAGACTACTGTTGTCTGCAAAGGTCACCGTTTCCTTTTCTTGGTGGCCATAAATATGTCTCTGCATAGAATAAAGGATAATAACAAGATTAGTTATACATATTATGACCTAGCTATGGCATATTAATAAATAGGTTTTGCATGCGTGTGTATGAAGAGAGAGAGAGAGAGATCTACTCGAAGCTAAAAACCAATAATACATTTTTACATTTGTAAGATTACAAACAAGTTCATACTAGCAGCGGCCTTGATCATAGTTAAACATTGGTAATATCTAATTTTCTTTACAAAGAGGGTACTAAACAGTAGGTTGAAGTCCACCCTTAAAATGCACCTGAAAAAAGAAAAAAAAAATGCTTCCCGAACAACATCCACCCCAGCACACATTCCAAAAAATTTGAGACACCCAATACATAAAAATTCTCAAAAATCAAGCGTGGGGAAGAAAACATCCCATGCCCATTGGTTAGAATATAAAAATATCAAAAACAAAAGAAAGGAAGGAGGAGGGAGGGAGGGAGGGAGGGAGGAATGAAAGAAAGAAAGAAAAGGGGAAAGAGGTTTCAATGAAGAGATTGTGAACAAGCTTTCAAATGTAAAACACCATTCATCCAAACCAGATCATGCATGCTCAAAATCACTGTAGTATCTTTCAAGAATTATAAACGAGAACAATGCAGCTCTCTCCAAGCCTAATAAGCTTTCAAGCTTGTTCGTTACGAAATAGAATAAAATGTCATAATCAAGGCCATAACCTTACCACAAGACTCTCGGCAATTAACTTGACACTTCTAATAATTGCAGTTTCATTTGTAAAAACCCTGGAGAAATCAAACATATTAAGAATTTTTTTTTTTATAGTAGAAGTGAACTCCCAGCAACAAGAGAAAGGAGTACAAGAAACAAAACCTGCTATCAACCAAACCCCCCGTTCTTTCTAATAACTCAGGAGCAACAGAGAGTTCAGAGATGGTAGCAGCAGTAACTCTCATCCTTGAAAATTGTTCATGCTCCCAAGCTACCTACAACAGGCCAGCAGCTTCATCACCTGGTCTCACAATAGAATATAGGAAAAATGCAAAATGCAAAAGGCAAAGGTACATAACATGATAGAAACATGCAAGATCTGTTCTCATAAAATATCAAGGTATCACAAAAAATATCAAGTGAGTAACTTCATTTTCTTTCTTCCTATTTTTCCCAGGTAAGATAAGATCGAAGAAGATTAAGATCTACTTTCAGTCGCTTTAAGTATCTGTATCAACAACATAAAAATTTAAAAAATGGTTGATTACAGATTACAGAGGAAGTTATCAAGGTTATATCAGGGATGACGACAATCGTGAAAACATTGTAATAATTTATAAACAAAATTCAGTTCTTGAAATTGTGTCAAAGTAAATGCATTTTCTTAAGTTCAAGGCCCCGTGCACATTCATTGCGCAAAAAAACGTCTCAAACCTTTATCATAAAAAACCTAGTCATAAGTTATAAGAAAACATTTCTCCTCCTGATTCACAGATTCAGAACATATTGTCACCAATATAGAAAATTTCAAGCGTGGATACTTACTCGAGGATTTGAAATATTTATTTTCTTGTGCTTCAGACCTACTTTAAAAGCCAATTCTTCAGCCACATTAGAGAAACCCTACAAAAAATTAAAAAAAAAAAAAATAGAAGAAAGAAAGAAAAGCCATCCATCAGATCAAGAGATCAGCAAATTAATTTAATTAATGACAGCAATCTTATAACAGATCTGGCAAACTTCTGTTAGCTTACTTCAAAAATTTGCTTTATGTAGGCATTTTCTGGAGGCTTAGAAACATGAATCCATAATTCATTATCCCATGAGCCAACACTATTCAAGCAAATAGCATAATCAATACTCTCGCGAAGACGTTGATCAAAGCTTCGTAGCCACTACAATTTGTAAACTCCGTAATAAGCAGACCACAAGCAAGGAAAGAATGTCGCAAAATTATGCAAAATTTTGAAGAAAGAAAAATACAGTAATACAGATCAAAACCTTATGTGTTCCATTGTAGTTGTAAGGTCCACCAGAAGTCAACCCGAAAAGTAAATTGTACCTCCCTCTTGTTTTAGGATTCGAATAGAGAAGAGAGAACAGCCTAGCAATTTCAAGAAGCGCTACGACACCACTTCCATTGCTATCACTTCCCACAGATAAAGCCTACAAATATGGATTTTCTCAGACCTTTATGAAGCTCACAGAAATTGATTTAAAAATAAATATAATGAGTTACATACTGGAGCAGCCCCAAATGTGTCATAAGATGCTACTATGGCAATAGTTGGAAGTTGATTATCTCCATCACTTTTCAATCCCGGCAACCATCCCTGTTATTGCTCAAAACAATAAAACAATTCACAAACACAATCTAGCAGACAAAATAAATTATTTCACCACGGCATAATTATTAGAAAGGTACTGATAAAAAAAAAAAAAAAATTGAAATGCTTACCTGAATATTTGTGATGGTGGGTGATGCAACCTTCCTAGGTTCTGGCACTGAAACAACAAGCTTGTATCTACATTCACCACCAAATGAAAGATCAATAACCACCACCGTACAACTTTTCTATCAATCTCAAGGAAAAAAAATACATGATCACCTTTTATGTTGAGAAAACAACTACATCGGCGTTAACATTTAAAAAGACCAAAATCACATAAAATAATACTCTCTTTCTCTCTCGTTTACTAAGACTCTTGAACCTTATGTTTTAATGTGAAAAACCTGCACAAAGATCTATGCTCAACAAAATTTTGCAGGAGAAGAAAAGGTGTACTTTTCTAGGGTGACATGAGAATTATCTATGGGGAGAGATAAATCCATAGACTTGGAGTCAAGTCCTATACAAAATTCTTCAAGTGCAACCAAGAGAAACAGATAATTAAATAAGCATACACGCAAGCAAATAACTTGCCAAGATCAGAATCTGCATCTACAGATAAAAAGATTGCAAACATATAAGCGCAAGCATCATAAATAGTCTTACACTTGCTATAACATGTAAACTTTATATCATTTTCCAAGCAAAAAATTAAACTTTATACCATTTAGTACAAAAACACAAATATTCTCTAATTATTAATTTACTTTTAACCTCCACCACAAATGGATTAAGGAGCACTATTCCTCAACCAATCTTTGAATCAGCTGAACTTACAAAACATGGTCACAATACAGTTAATACACTACAAGACAGAATGATTTTACGAAAGACATCAATGGCAACTTATTGAACCAATTTGTCAGAAATTGAAATACTTGAATAAAGCTCTAGGTATCCTCAAGAAGGGAAAAATAAAAAATAAAACTTCTAGGTTGACTCTCAAAAGAATGTCCCATTATTTGATCGCAGAAAATTAAAACATTTACCCGCCAGTGGTCGCAGTGGCAGGTTGGCCAGTGACATCATTCCTCTTAATATCAGCCAAAACAGCCTCAATATCACTATCTTCAAAAGCAAAATATACGGGATACTGTAACAGAAAGTATGAGAAAAGAAACATTCATTAGAAACAAGGCTCTGAAGTCTAAAGGGGCATTCATGCCCACATTTGGCGTTAAAAATAAAACACACGCGTATTGACAGAATGCAACTTCTATGCTAAGTTGAGGAATTCATCCAATTTTTAGTATCTTGCTACCGACCTATTATACTAAGCCATAAAGCAGATAGCAAGAAAAAATTAAGAGAGTAAGAACAGAATTTGGAGAATCAGTTTGAGCATGTGTCATCACAAAAGAGGGAACTCTCTTTAAAGCTGTTACTTTATGAGGTCAGCCATGTCAATAGTATATATGGAGTAAGGTGGAGATATGGGTGTGCATTTATGGCATGAAATGCTCGGGAAATTTGGTCAGAAAGAAAAAAGCCACTGATTCTTACAGACGATCAAGGACAGTGAGACGAACCCCACAACAAGAAAGGATGACTCGTAGAATGAGGATAATATAGGGCATGTTAATTTAAGTTGGTTCCAGATTTGCTAAAAGTCATCCTGAGATGCAACACAAATACCTAGAATTTCATGTTGGACATATCTTAAAATCAAAGCTGACAGGGAATAAATTGACGAGAATTACAAGAATTAACCAAGATTATTCTTCTATTCAGCTGAGATGTAACAAGTTAAAGAATCATATACCTCAGGCCATTAGTGACTAGTCTGTTTTCAATAAACGAAGAATTCCACTGGGGGAAAAAATGGCATAGCAAGTACAAACAAGAAGACAAGGACAATAAGTCCTTAACAAGAAAAATAAGAGGACAAAAATCTCATCAACCACAAACAATCCTCGTTGTATTAATAAGTAGCATAATTTCATTCACAAAAAGAGAAAGTTAGGCAAAGAGCCATAGTATCTTAAGACCAAGGAGAAAAAGACTAATCAGAGACAATTTTAAGCCCCTATTTGGCAAAAGGTTTGAACCACAATTCAAACATTTTTGCTAGAGTGTTTTTTTCTTAGAAAAATATGAATTTTTGCTCAAAATATATGTTCAAACCTATGAACCACACGGGCCAAAATATAACAAAATTGACAAATCAAAATAAATGAATCTGCTAGTTGTTGAGCAATAATGAAACTAAAAGCCTAAAACCTATGGAATACAGGATTACAAATCAAGATTGTATATGGACATAAATAGGTAAAAGAGCTGATAAAAATCAGAAATAAACAGCAGAACATTAAGTCATGTATGCAGAAAGCATACGAGAAGTTGAGTTTGTTTCACTTACAGGTATGTTCGAGTGTACAAGTAACTGCTCAAGTTCTGCCAGTACATTTTTTATCTGCTCACGTTCATGATCTTGATGATTCCTCCCGATCCCGTCTTTGTTCTCATAACTAAATATCTGGGGAAGCAAAAACAGCAAGCCTCCAAGAGGCTGTCTTTGAGAAATATATTCTGCAACACAATTCCCAAAAACCAATCATTACCAAACAAAGAAGAATCAAGGAGGATAATTCTTCACCCAACTCATGACAGAAACAAAGAATCCAATTAGACTTCACAAATAAATAGGACCACATCTAATTTCTTCCGTTTTTTGCTTTCTTTCTTATGGTGGAGACCATATTTTACTTAGTTGAATTCCTTAGCACCAAAAAATTGATTCAATCCAAGATCTTGATACAAGCATTTTACAAAATTGCAAATATCCCGGAAAACGTAAAATACACTTCATAATCAATTTTATTCAGAAGTGTATACCACAATCGAAAACTTGCACCCATCAATACACAGTAGACCTGTTGGAGAGCACAGGAACCACTTCAATTTAGATCGACAGATGGTAAAATCCAGATAAAAAGTGGTTACAAATTAGAAACTCTACATGTACATTGAAAATTTTTCTGAATGTTGACTTTATTGTGTACAAAGTAAAATTTTTATACCATCACATCAAAACTAGGGAGCACTAGAGGTAGGCCAGGTCTACAAAGTATCAATATCCGCATCTTGTTGTCATTAATGACCATTTATTCATTTGTGAAAGAAAACACCTCTTATAAGCACTTGCCAGAAACCACTTCCAAAGAGAAAATGAATACGAGATCAAGTACATGGCCATGAAACATTGCAGAATCCAATGCATTGGATTATCAAAAATACTAGATCAAATATGGTCACTAAAAAGCTTTCTCTTATGAGCACTTGAAAAATAAGCAGTTTAGAACTCTACTGCCTAAAAATTCCAAAATCCAATTTAAAAAAAAAAAACACTATTATATTCGATTTTACTCATAAGAGCATCATCGATCACGAATTAGATCCAAAAGGGGGGGAAAAAAGGTTAGAAATTATGAACCCTAGAAAATGAAAAGAAAGTGACCTTTGACGAAGGAGATATTGAGGTCGCGAAAAGGAATGATGAGAACTGTACGAGAGAGATCGGAGCCGGGAGGGAAGTGAGTGGAGGCGGCGTGGTGGTTGAGGGCGGCGAGGCGAGATCCGAATGGGACGCCGGCGATGTCGTACTGGATGAGGCGGTAGACGTCGACGACGGTGGCGGCGCCGCAGAGCTCGACGCAGGCAAGGATAATCACGACCAGCTCGATCACCGGGAACATCGATTCCATCACTTGCCGCTTCCCCTGAGCCATTGTTGTTGCTCTGGAAATGAAGCGAACAAAGTCGATCTGCGGAAGCTCACAAACAAACAAGAATTCCTCTCTCTAGAGAAGGTTATGTATATAAAGAGACTGTGTGTGTTCTGTGCTGAACTGATAGACTTTTGCTTGGTAAATGGCTTTTATTTTTGCTTGATCGGAGTTTTGTTTTATATATTCATAAATGGCTTTTATTTTTGCTTGATCGGAGTTTTGTTTTATATATTCAAACTCGTCTTATAGTAATTTTCTTTTATGAAAAATTTAAATTTTATATGTCAGAATTAAAAATTATAGTTTGAGTGTACTTTTTAAACGGGTCTTACACGACGGCGTTATGTTTGTTTATTATGTTGGTCTTTCTTTTGAGAGATTTTCTTGTATGTCAGTGTACCAGTAAGTTAGATTTTTCTAACGGTTGAATTTGAATTTACGTATTTTTCTTTTACGTGATTTTATGTTCATCCGCCGGTTAAAAAATTTAACTTATTAGTATGTTAGCATACAAGGTCTTTTTTTTTAAACAGTCAATTGATTTGATGATGGTAATAAAATGTTAAGTATATGTATCAAATAAGTCGTAATCCTATTAATAAATCATAGGAATTGTGTAAATTATATATTCAACATAAAAATTCAAACCAAGTATACAGTTTAGTTGTGTAAATTCATATGTAAATTCATATAATAAACGTGTCATGTTTGGATTATTTTTTTTTTGCCATTAATCAATTGGGTTGAATTTAGGTTAATGTTCATATAATAAACGGGTCAAGTTTGAATTGATACTTTCTGGCCTATTTTCCAAATGAATCGAATATAGATTAATGTTTGTATAATAAACGTGTCATGTTTGAATTCATATTTTCTGACATATTTACTAAATGGATCAAATTTGAGTTAGTTTTTTTTAGCATAGTTAATATAACAGGTTCAAATGCTACTCATTAGTTCGAATTGCAACCCCATAATTGATAGGACTTGAATAAACTAACTAATATTTGTGAATGGATTTATACAAATAAATAAATATCTTAAATATAGAAAATGTTTCTAATCCGTCAAATCTGATAAATGTAACATCTTTTATTTTTTAGTGAACATCGTTTATACATTCGTGAAACACTCATTTTATCTAGCATAACACTTAATAAAAATGTAATCTACCATCACGTTACATTAAACTTACTTTAATGTTATTTTGTTGTACCAAAAAATTACAAGTCTATACTACTAACGTTACATTTGTTGTACTGTATGACCGCGGGACTAAGGACTTTGCTCTAAAGTATATAAGGTCTATACACATATATTATATCAATCTTAAATTTTTCTTTGGAAACCATATAGATAAATGTTAATTTTTTCTTAGCAAAATTATGCATATCTATTTTTATATATTATACATATAATGCTAGTACATACGCGGTGTTTTTTGAACGGTCTTTGAATCAAATGTTTTCCATAAGGAAGGAAAGGAAAATAATGCCCTGTTTATTTAACTAATTTGAGTTTAGAATTCAAATTTTATTACAGTAAAAAATTTTCAGAAACAGTCACATTTAATTTTTTTGTTACAATAAAATTTGTTTTTATAAAGTCGCATATCAACTCAAATTAAAAACTCAAATTAACGAACTAAACGAAACTTAACTTTGTGCAGTTTTCTAAAATTAACTCCAACGAGAGAATGAGCGAAACCCAATTTTGGTGTCTCCAAGAAGCCATCGGCCGTCCTGAGCATGAGCATGTTCCTTTTGTCGTTAAAATGATTGGACTTTTCCATTAAAAAAATACAATATGATAATAATTGGACTTTTCGGAGCTGCTTTTGCAAAACAATCTAGTTATGATGCTGAAACATATCTATTTAGCAATAGAGCACTTTCATTGACCTACTTGATTATTTTGTCCAAATCACCATCTGGTCAATTCATTACATCATTTAAGCTCGAGGATTAAAAAGCATTATTGATTAATTAGTAATGTGCCAAGTTCACTTCCCCCTCGGCAACTAGAGAAAATCCACTTTAAGAGGTTTGGAATTCAAAAATACCACTTTTGTGGAAAATTGAGGAAGGCTTTGTAAAAATAACTCAATAGAAAAATTTTATTAGTAAAATAATTTTTTAAAAATTTTTATTTGTAAAATGACTTTTTCTTTTTTTCCTCTTACAAATGAGGTTTACATTTTTTATTTATTTTAACCAAATTCTCTTCTTCTTTCTTCTTCTTCGTCTTCTTCGATTGGATTTTGAGTCGTTTGAGTTTTACAGTTGGTGAGTTTGGGAAAAAGGAGCGATCGGAGATGTTGGATGGACTCTTGGGCTGAGGCTTTGCCTCTAAATGGTTTGCGCTTTGATCCCTCTTCTCTCTCCCTATCTATGTATATATCAATATATATATAGCGACCAGAGATTTTGCAGGAGTGGAGGCGCCATTGATTCCGGCGGTGAACTTTCACTTTCTCTGGAAATAAATAAAATTAAAATTAAAAAGTCATTTTCCTAATTTTACTTTTTCATTTGGTTATTTTAACCAAATTCTCAAAAATTGAGGGACTGTTCTTTTGCTCTTTTTGAGTTAGGTGACTTAAGTATAGATTTTTGAATTGAGTTTGAGTTATAACTTGAGTTGAAGTTGTAACTTGAGTTTGTGTTTGGTTGTGTATATTTGAGTTATGATTTGAGATAAGAATCTTTTTGAGTTTGTGTTTGAGTGAGTCAAAACTTGAATTTGTATTTAGATAGTATTTTAATAAAAATTCAATGTTGATGGAAAATTTTAACAGGGTATATAGGTGGGATTTTATTCATCTTTTCGTTGTCAACACATAAAAAAATCATCTCAATCAGAATTAAAAAGAAAAAGTTATAGCATTTTTAAGAATAGAAAAAATATTGTTCATTAATTTGAGTTCGAGTTTCTGAACTCGAGTTGAAGGAGAAACTTGAACTCGAGTTTTAGTCCCAAACTTGAGTTCAAACTTGAGTTCAAATTTAAAAGAACATGAACTTGAATAAAGTTATAACTAAAATTATTTTTTTTTGAATTTGTAACTCAAAAAAAGGGCTGTCGAACAACCCCTAAATCTTTACACAAATCAAAGTTGTACATCTAAATCACTAGACTTCAAAAGTGAAGTGCCCCAATTTACACAGTTATAATGGGCTAAAACATCACATTGCACTTTCTTTTATATATATATATATATATATTAATAATAATAGTTTGAATGTCATATTATTTATTTTATCAATTCGAGTTTTCAATTTCAATTTTATTATAATTAAAAGTTCTCACAAAAATATTACTTTTGTAGAAAATTGAATCTTTACATAAATCAAAGTTGTACATCTAAATCACTAGACTTCAAAAGTGAAGTGCCCTAATTTACACAGTTATAGATGGGCTAAAACATCACATTGCACTTCCTTATATATTAATAATAATAGTTTAAATGTCGCATTATTTATTTTACCAATTTGAGTTTTCAGTTTTAATTTTTCTACAGTTAAAAGCTCTCACAAAAATACCACTTTTGTTGAAAATTGAATCTTTACACAAATCAAAGTTGTACATCTAAATCACTAGACTTCAAAAGTGAAGTTCCCTAATTTACACAGTTATAGATGGGCTAAAACATCACATTTTGTTTATTTTACCAATTCGAGTTTTCAGATCCAATTTTGCTACAGTTAAAAGCTCTCATAAAAAATCACATCTAATTTTTTCTACTACAGTTAAAAACTCTTTGCATAAAATCACTTTTCAACTCGAATTGAAAACTCAAATCGGCAAACTGAACGAGGCAGCTTCATTAAACTGTCATACTCTTTTAATATGATATGATTCTAATGTGCCTAATAGTTTAGAACTTATTCTACCGGTAGTTTATTTTCTGTAATCACAAAATTCTCATAACTTTCAGGATAAGAAACGAATATCTCAAAGAATGTAAACTTTGCTGAGAAAACGAGACTCATGGGTACCTCTTACCAGCCTTTGTCTACTACTTGGGTGGAAGCATACACTCTTTAAAGCAAACCAAAAAAGAAAATGTCGAAAAGGATTTCTTAAACTTAATCAACTCTCCTCGGCTTCACCCAACTATAATCATGTTCTACAGATGGTTTAAGACTGAATACATGCTTAGACACCATGCTTGGCGGTTAAACTAACGACACGCAAAGCCAAGCGGAATCGATCTTACCATAGGGATTGGGAAGTTGCTGCTATAACTTGCAGATGTTTATTTGAATCAGCCAACAATTCGTGCATTATGTAGATTCCCTTACCTACTATTTGCCTTTACTTCAGAGACTATCTTCAAGGTAATTTTCGGATTCCATTCTACAAAAATGGTGGGACATACATACATACAAACTAATAGTGCAATCTACAGGGGCCACGCTTCTTAGAAGCATCCTGCGCGCTCGCTCCACTTATGTCTTGTTTTTTTTTTCTTTTTTTTAATAAGAAGCTGGTGCCGTGTACCTCGAATATGTGTAAAAAAATAATCAAGTAAAATATCCGGTCATTTTGAGCCTTACTCATTTTCAGGAAAGATAAATTGCAGGTCTTCATTGTCTCTATAAACTTGTACAAGAGCAGCGGCTTTATAGACAAACATTCCAAGCATTGCTGGCACCATCTGTAACGGCCGAGAAAGGTACTATGATAATGCATAAGAAAATAAAGCCCTTCTTTGCTGTGAAGAATCTAGTGTAAACAAATTTTAAAAAATTAATTCATTATAGAGGAAACACTATTGAAAGTTACCTGGAAATCAAAGAAATCATTGGATAGATATTGATGAGACAGAATCCAAAGACCATATATTGCTGCTGGGATCACAAGCCTCGGAGATGAGACAGCAATACCACTACCCTTTATCGATCTCTCAAACATATCCCTCACATCTTCACTTCTTATTCCAATTCTGGATCACGGCACAAGGTTTAATTTTTATTTTTAATATATATATATATATATATATATTGTGAAAAAAAAGGCTAGGACACTTGCTGCAAATTATAACAAAATAGATGACTATGACGAATGGAAAATGTTCTGGCTGTACTTTTTAGCCTTCTTCTGCCTAAAGATTTGTGGAACTGCGTCTCTAGATATGTTATCTGCATGTCGGTATAAGAGCTGAAGGTACAAGCAACTGCAGTATTTTAAAAGGAATAACTTAAATTTTCAGAAGAAATATAAATGGTACGTCGCATAATGAGATAAAAATATATTTTTTGTTTTCGATCCTAAAATAACAACAAAAAAACAAGGAAAAATAAATTGTAATGTGTCATCTGTTGATGGACTATCAACACTGAAAGAGATTTTTGTTATTTGATATTCAGCAGTGGAGTGTTTTTTTCTGAAGAAAAAGGATTTATTGTTTCTTTGTTAAAATTTAACTAAGAGAATAGGTAAGGCACAACTCAGGTAGTTGCTAGTGACTTTTCATAAAAGGAAAGATTGTGACGTTACGATCAAGTGGAGACGTAAAATTTGGGCAGGCTGTAAGGTGTTGCTTCAATGAAATTAACACTTCAACTTATTTACTTGAAGATGTAAAAAACCAACCTGAAAAGAACACCTGTTGCATAACTAATAGCAGCCTGTTCAGTTAAGAAGCAAGTTAGTTCTCCATGAAAAACGAAAACTACATATTCAAGACATCTTTTTCATCTCCTTAAATTTAGGAACTTATAGCAAACATCTTTAACGTAGTAAATAGCAGTTTTTTTTCTCAAACTAAATGTTTTCTAGGTGTTTGCTAGTCAAGAAATTAAAATTAGTAAAGGGACCTGTTTTTCAATTCTAGTTTTACTTGTGTCTTTGGAAATAAAATGAAACATAAGGAATTGAAGTTTTTCAGTAAGACTAGAGAACCTGTTTTCCACCTCTAACCTACGATATTAAATTCCTTCTCCTAAAGAACCTTAAATAAAATACCCTCATGTAACTTAATTATTTCCTCGACGTAAGAGTACTTTTGTCAACCAACTTATTCTTATCCCCATTCCCTAGTTTAGCAATTAGTGGAATAGGAATTCCATTCCACTAGATTGGAATCATCATGACAAGATTCCAAACGTTCATTCCTAGTCATACGAAGCAATCGAATAGAATAGACCACCAAAACATGAAAAAGCAAGTGAAGTGTCATTCTCCGCAATTTCTCGTAGAACTTGAGGAACCTTGCTTCTCATAATCTCAAACTTAAAAGGTCTTTCCCTTTTTTTTTCCCCCACTTTTTGTGGAAAGTTTACCTGGACAGATAGAACAACCAAACAGTACCCCGTGCAAGCAGTTCCAATTCCAATTGATAAAAGCCATAATTCCCTCTTGAGCTGCAGAAATAAGGACAAAGATTTTAGGATATTCAACATTATTTACCAATCGTACCCTTTGCCGACTATACAAATGAGCAATGCATTGAATTTTTTCTTTTCCCCTACTCTCCTTTTGTTAAAAAAAATGTAACTCAGCCTTTCCAATCTTGGAGAATGTTAAGGAACTCATGTAATAGGGCTCTACCCCAGAAATTTGGAAATCAAATTCATATTAACATAAAAAAAATTGAAGAAAACATAACAAGAAATTTTTAAGCATTTGAAAGTGCCAAAAAGCATCACTGCTGAAACTACTACAGGATGAAATGGCGAACATATTACTTATAATATGCATTTCTCAGAAAGGAAAAATAACCGAGAGACACAAGTATCATACAGCTTCATATTTGAGAAGATTCAGTCTCCTTCTTCTTTCTCTGTCATCCTGCAATGCCTGTTTTCACGTATGTAAAACTTTAAGAATTACATAAGCTAACGGCACCCTTCTAGAACCAAAACGACAGAAGAAATTATAGTTTGTTTGAATGACCGGTTAAAGTCATACCTTCGCACCAGCCTTTTTATTTATTGGTGCAGAGGTGTCACCTGATACCCATTCCTGGGTTCTAGTGAGTTTCAAAAACCCGCCATCGTTGTCACTCTCTATGACCTGATAACGTTACAACTTTATTATAAAAAGACATAAAAATGGAACACATTGTTTGGTCACCCTGTGGCTGAACACTTGAACAGAAATACCTCTTAAGCGCAAATGAGTAGACAGTAATCTTTAAGAAGAAATTACATGACATTAGAAAATTGAAGATTAATGCCCATATTTTACAGTTGGAAAACACTTAACAGAAAATATTGAAGCGTCTTCGCAGTCTGACGCTCTTTGAAGCTCTTCAATGATTACATAAAGTTCTCTCAGCTCTAGCATACTCAACAAAACTGTCCTATGAAAATAGCTATATTATATCCCTACCCAAATTATATAAAATTGTTCTTTGTAAACTACATGTTAGAGCAAATAAAGAAATTGTAACATATTTTAATAAAAGAGAAATCCGAATAAAAGAAAAAATAAATAAAAAGAGGGAGGGGAAGGAATGATGACAAACAATTGAAACGATTTCTCCATACTTTTAGATTTTCCCAAAGATTTCCCTATCCAGTCTACCCCACCATAACAAGAAAATCTTTCCAGCGACAAAAAGCCATTTGAAGATTGTTTCCATGACAAAGGACACCATAGACACTGAATGAACAGAACCAAAAATTAGGAGACCAAAATCTGGTCAAATTTTCCATTAGCAAGGACACACAAATATTAAGAGGAAAACCCGGTTGAATGACCATATATCTCAAACAAATTTGTGTTAACAAATAGGAATCGGTGCAGGAATTTCATTGGAGCTGTTCATTTACCATAAAGCAGTTTCCAAAAGAAAACGAGTCATAAGATTAATCTTATATAAGAAGTTACAAGAGCTTACTACAATACCTGATCTGCTTGTCGAGAAGTATCAGAAAGTGCAGCTTCAGCATCAACAAACTTCATAGCCTCTCTCTGCCAAAACATATCAGAAACTTTTGATATGAAATCTCCATTCAACTGTCTCTCTGTAAGGAATGTTTGCAAAACATCCTCCTCTGAAATTTCACCAACTGGAAATGAAGAAAAATCCCATAAACAAGACAACCATGTCAGTGTTCTTTCTAGGAAGTGTCTGGGAACTATAGAAAATCCAGCATTTTAGGACTCAAACTGACAAATACTCATGTAAATCTAGTCAAATGACAACGATTCAAAAACTTGAAACCCGTGAAAGCACCCAAAAACTGAAGGGCTTTTTGCTCTTTTGCCTCCTTAACTTTGTTTTAATTTGCAAGGTGCCCATGAACCTTTAATTCTGGAAAATTATTTCTGAATTGAATAAAATGTTGCAGTGAGCCCATCGAGGTTAACACATGAGAGGAAAAACCCTCATGCACGTGACAACAAAATGCGCTCCAATTGTCATTAGAAATTCCAACCTCTTTCTTCGAATGGCCTCGTGTAATGAAGACGAGAGTTTCCACCAAAATTTTAACAATTGTCATCAGTGAAGGGCACTCTACAATGCTTTGTTAAATTCGGGCCGGCGAATTACCAAAATTGAAGTTTAGAATTAATTTGCAATAGTAAACGATTAAGGGGGCAAATGTGGCAAATACTCAAACTTAAATTCCTCAAAGTTTATTTTCTTCTGCATTACTACAATTACATTAGCTATTCAGTATTTACCAAGTTGGAGTACAAATGGGATGCTTGTAACCATAGAACATCAAGCATTCTACGACACAAACTGAAAAGGACCCATGTAAATGACAACAATTCCGATACGAGAGAAACTTCTGGTAATTCGAGGAACCACGGCCTCCCAAGATCGTTTCGTTTGTTCGAGTGAACCAAGACCTCCATACAAACTGACATTTGATATGAAAACATTCTGCATAACTTTTTCATTAATCCATGAGGTTTAAATACAAAGAGATTACAACTTAATCATACTACATCACTAGCCGCTAAACTATCAAGAAGACAGAACATTCCCATAACAATCTATTCACATCTTCAAAATATCAGAGAAACCTAATAATTCCAATAAATAAAAGAAAAGATAAATAAAGCATAATTGACTAATGCACCAATATGACTAATAATTTCTAACTAAAATAAAACGATAAAATATGTGAATATGAAGTATCGTAACAAATTCAATACAAGTTAAGAAAAACGCCCAAGAGAATTGAAACCCATAAGTTAGTTTCCTCTATAATCGTGGGTTTTCTCGCAAACCAAACACAAAGTTCCAGAATATTCACATTTTGGAGTAGTGAATATAGCTCACCTGGGCGAAGGCTCGTTCTTGGGAGCCAGAAAGATGGTTGACTAGTTGGAGTTGGTTTCCATTGACGAGGAACTGAAAGAGGTTTTGGTAATGGAGATTTGATGATGGAAGTTGTGAAGCACCCAAACCTCTGAAGGGTGTCCATGCTGGGAAAAAAGCACCCTCACTCACGATGTGCTGAAAAAATCTTCACAGTTATTAGTTAGCTTTGATATAAAAGCCATTTTGACGTGAGAAGAACGAAATAAAATAAAATAATCCCACTTTGTCTGCGTTGGATTTTGATAAGACGGCAAAAAAAAAAAAAAGGATTTTTTATTTTTTTGCTGCGAAAAAAAAGGACGTTATCCGTTAAGTTCATAAATATCTACTTCTTATTAAATTAATAAAACAAATTATTTGTTAATTATTCCAATAATTTTAAATTATTTGTGGGACATTAATGAAAAAAAAAAACTACAATGAAATGGAATAAAGAAACCACTACAATGACTACAAACAAGAAACTTGACAAATCATTAACGTTTAAATAAATTTCATTTAGAAAGAAACAACAATAGCTAATGGAAAACAGCAACAACCAGCAAACAAACAAAAATCATACTAATGATTAAGACAAAAGCAGTGCTAATGGAAAAACTAGTTTCAGTTTTCAAATTTTCCTCTGAACCAAATTCAATTCTAATTCATTTTCTCTATTTAGAACTGATGTACTATACTGACTAAACAATTCGCACTTTAATAAATTTCATTTAAAAAAAACAAAAAGGAAAAGACCACTCACTTGAGAGTGAAAACTCGGCTTCTTCTGTAGATAGTTCGGGTGTTGCGGTGGTTGGCGGGAATGGGTGTGACGGCGTCCGACGGGAGTAGGCGGCCCGACGGAATAGGGTGGTTGTGCCCGCCGGTAGAGATAGGTAAGATGTAGAGACAACAGAAAAGAGAGGAAGAGGAGGGAAGAATTGCGGTGGTCGGCAGGAATGGGTGTGAAGTCGTCCGGTGGGAGTGGGCGGCCCGCCGGAGTAAGTGGTTGTGCTGTCAGTAGAGATGGGTGGAGGAGGATGTGAGAAAGGAAGGAAGAAAAAGAAAACGGATTTTTTGCATGACACCCCCTTAAACTTTTCATGTTTGACATATTAGTCCCTGAACTTTAATTCTTGACAATTAACCCCTTAAATTTCAAAATCGTTGCATTAGTAGTCCTTTTCAGCAACATCTGTTAAATACTTAACGGTTTTAACCATGTGGTCTGCACGTGAGCCTTCTCTTATGGGCATGTTTGGTCTTTATCTTCTAATTGGGAAAAAAAAAAGAAAAAATAATAAAACATAAATGACCAAAGCCCACGAATCACGAGGTCTTCTTCATCTTTATTTTGCAGTCCGATGAGATGTTTTTGGGGAGGGGGAAGAGGGTGCGGTGAATTCGGGATTTGGAGGGGGAGGAGGCACAACGAGCGACGCTGGAGTTTGGCGAGGAAGTGGGTGCAACAACGGGGAGATCGCGATTTAGAATGGGTTTGGCGAGGAAGTGGGTGCAACAATGGGGACATCGCGATTTAGAATGGGAGCAAGCTTGGCAACACAGTAGTTTGGCTGAGGAGTGGGCATGATGGCGACGACGACGGTGATGCTGAGATTTGCAGTGGGAGGAGGCCGCTGCGACAACGAGATCTAGCGTAATTGTGACACTGAAATTTGCTGGGTGAGTGGGTGTGATGACGGCGGGATCTTGTAGCGAAGATCGGCGCGTCGAAGTCGAGATCTAGAGCTAGTGGTGTCCGTTATCGATTCGTATCCTCTCCAAAGTCACTGCGCCTCCTTTCGGCGTCGGCATCGCAATCATCCCCACAAATCTGGCTAGCTCATCCCCTCAAAAAAAAAAAAAAGACAAAAAACAAGCTCTTTAACCTCTAAAATCTGGACCCCTATGCATTTTCCACATTTTGACCAAATATGGAAATTCATTAAATTTCCACAATTATATTGATTATTTGTTGTCAAAAATGCAAGTTCATTACCTCTAAAAAAATTTGTACAGATATAACACAAAGGAGAACTGACAGAGAGGAAAAAAGAGTTAACTATTGTGGTGTAAACCTTAGAGCAAGGACTTTTGTTAACGTCGTTGATGTTCACCATGACAGCGCCACGATGGGTAACCATCTACAACATCCGGCAACGACAACCCTACATCCCCCTCTGATGAGTTTTGTCTCTCCGGTGGATTAATTTTAGTTTTAAATTTTGTCCGGATGTATTATTTATTTGTAAATGTTCAATATTGCCCTTGACAAGTGGTGCACGTGAAGGGCATGCTATTATTCTGTTAAATTTTTTTTAACACCGTTTTCAATTGGACCACCAATGCAATGATTTTAAAATTCAAGGGGTCAATTACCAATCCACCAAAGGTGAAAATTTCAGGGGTGGTCTCATGCAGAAAGGCCAAGAAAATGAGATATTGTTCCTTTCACAATTTAAGTTGAGAACTTGAATTGTGTATATGAGAGAAAAATATTGTAGTTAAAAAAGTTGATTTTAAATTTTTATAAGAGAAAACACGACAACAATGGGGTTGTTCTTTTGTATTTTCGAGTTAGGGTGACTTGAGTGATGATCTTGAGTTGAGTTTGAGTTATAACTTGAGTTTGTGTTTGGATGTGCACATTTGAGTTATGATTTGAATTGAGAATCTTTTTGAGTTTGTGTTTGGGTGAGTCAAAATGTAAATTTGTATTTAGATAGTATTTTAATAAAAACTCAATGGTGATGAAAAATTTTAATAAGGTACATGGGTGGGGTTTTATTCGTCTTTTCGTTGTGAATGCATAGAAAAAATAATAGAAAAAAATATTGTTCATTAACTTGAGTTCGAATTTATAAACTCGAGTTGAAGAGAAAACTTGAACTCGAGTTTAGCCCCAAACTCGAGTTTAAACTCGAATTCAAACTCGAGTTCAAACTCAAATTTTACAAAAGAACATAAACTTGAATAAATTTGTAACTCGAGTTCAAATTTTTCTGAGTTTTATTACAAAAGAACAATCTCAATATAGTTATGACTTGAGTCGTGAAAAGAACAATAATGAAGTGATAGGGAGGGAAAGAAAGAGAACTGAGTTTTTTGTTGGCCTAATTGGAATTCAAAACTGATTAATACAAAGGGGTAAACTTGTAATTTTAATCACTACATCAACAATTTTCATAAACAACAAAGAAAATACTTTTTTGCGTGGGACCCTCTTAAACTTTACATATTTAGCAATTTAATCCCTAAACTAAAACTTTTGACAATTAACCTCTGAACTTATAATTTTTGGTATTGGTTTCTTCTTTGAATGAAATATGGGTTGATATTTTACGAATCCAAGTTTCAATTTTCAAACACTGGTTGGAGTCGTGGGAGAGAGAAAGTGTGTGAAGGGGCATGCTATTTTTGTTTCTTTCTTTTTTTTAGATAAAATAATAATAATTTATTAGAATCAAATTCAAGTCTTGCCCCTAATAAGTGGAACACGTGAGGAGCACATGAGTCCTTCCGTTCACATTTTTAACGGTATTATTAATTGGAGTAACAATACCAAAAATTGTAAGTTTAGGGGGTTAATTGTCAAGAATTTTAATCTAAAGACTAATTTACTAAATACGTAAAGTTCAAGGGGGTTCTATACAAAATGGGTCTTAGGAAAAGTGGTGGAAACATGATTCAGGGGAGATCTACTGGCTCTCAAAATGATGGAAACTGTAAACACATGTCCGGGAGTTCAAAGTAAAAAGATCCTCCAACTAAATATTCTCAAAAAATATTACCAATACAATATATTTTGAAATTTAAGGAGTCAATTATTAGAATTTTAAACATGTAAAGTTAAAGAGAGTCCTAAGTAAAAAAACTAAAAAGAAAATGTTTGGATACGTTTAGAATTATTTTTATTTATTTTTAAAAATATTTTTGTATATTTTTTTGACATGAAAATAAAAATAGTATGTATTTATTTAGTAAATATTTAAAAAAAAAATAAAAAAAAATAATGAGAATAAATTTTATAAAAAAATTAAAAAAGAATTAAAAAGAATTATTTTTATTTTCTAATACTTATTAATAATATTTTAATATATTAATTAATAATTATAAGTAAATACAATTTCATCCTTATATTATACTCAAGATAATTTTTTAAAAAGCTAATAAAACGTAATTTTAAAATAATGAATCTCATTTTTACTTTTGTACTAAAAAATCATTTTCAAACGTTACAAACGGACCATTTTGTTCTTTCACTTTCTGCTAGGGTTTTGCAGAAGAGAGGCCGCTCCACTCGCTCGCACCAACTCCAATGTCTCCATTGAGCTCCGATCAGGTCCTGAAGGACAACAACACTCGTGATCCTTCCGCCATTGAAGCTCTCAAACTCACCCACCGAGCTCTCTCCGATGTCCGTCGCCTTTCTTTATCTTCTTCAACTTCTACCCTCGATCGCTAAAACGCTCATATGTTGTCTTTGATTTTTATTTTCTCAGGTTTCGTTCTTGTGCGACTTCAAGAACTTGGCGAGGCTCGATCTTAGGCTCAACAAGCTCACTTCTCTTGAGGTGCTTCTCATTTTCTGCTTCGTTTGTGTTTGTTCCATTTGGAAAGGGAAAATTGGTGTTGTTAATCATGGTTAATTTGATTGTGTTTGTCAGGGTTTGAAGCTGTGCACGAATTTGAAGTGGTTATCGGTTGCGGAAAACAAATTGGAGAGTTTGAAAGGAATCGAAGCGCTTTCTAAGCTCACTGTAAATGCTCTTCTTTTTTGCTTCATTTAGCGGCTTTGCGTTTCCGCTTACTTATTTTTGAGGGAAACCTCTGTTCGCAATGAATTTCTAATTGTAGTTACAGGGGAAATGCATTGCTGCTGTTGTTATGGATTTCCGTTTCTTTACCTTGTGAATATATGTTTTGACTCTGTTTGGTAAGAGTAAGAGGGAAAGAAAAAGGGAGGCAGAGAAAACATGTGAGGGAGAGAAAATGTGAATGGGAGTTCTATCTTGTTTGGTATGATAGGAATGGAAGAAAATGAGTGACTAAGTAAATAATTATCTTACCAATTAATTAGTATTACTTAGTTCAAAAATGAGGACAAAAAAAATAATATGAATCTCTATTCAAGTTGCAAGTGTAACAACTTTTTTTTCTTTTGAAAAATAAAAAATGTTGGGACTTATGGGGTATCTCTCCACCTTTACCTCTACCAATTACCAAACATAGTGTTAATCATCATCTACTGTGGAGCTGTTGATATAAATTAAAACTAGCACGTTGATGTGGAAATCTGCATGGAAGATTCGATAGTTTACATCCAACTATGTGGGTGAAGTTTTGAGAATATTAGTGCTATATTCTTATAAATGAAAACCTAAATTACACATTTTTGTTTCTCGTAGAGTGCTATTCTTAGATCACATAGTCTTGTGCTTTCTCTTGTTTGATAATAGAGATTGCCGTCAAGGCGTTTGGTTTTGTTCCTGTAGCATGGTAGGATTTCATATTTATATTCTCCAATCCCGTTTTACCAGTTCTGGCTTTTTTTGCTCACTATAACTTTAATTTTAGTTTTGATGTACTTGTTGAGGTTTCATTACTGACTTATAAAAGTGTTTTTGTGGTCTGTGTATTTTTAATGCGCTCAGTTGTTGCAACCGTCAAGAAAATCTTCTAAATTTATTGAAGAAATCTTATCGCGTAATATTCCTCCTTTTGCCTTACAACCTAATTACATGTGCACATATTTGGATTTATTGAATCTTAAATTTTTTTGCCGATAGAATTTTCCTTTCATCTTATTGTGGTTATGTTGTATGTTCTTATCTCAAGTGGATCCTATAGCATTTCATCTCATTTAAATTTTGATTTTCAATCAAGCAAGCTTCATTTAAAGATCCATGTAAAAATATTGGTATTATAATTTATGGTGTGTGTGTGTTCTTTGCTCTAGGAGGCTCTAGTTAAGCAACCGCTAAAGTTGCTGAATTAATTTTGGTTTGTAGAGTCACTTGGTTCCATTTCTGTAAAACAGGTCTTTAATGCGGGCAAGAACAAACTTAAGTCCATGGAAGAAGTTAGATCTATTACGAGTTTATGTGCATTAATTTTAAATGGTGAGCTTTAAAATGTATTCAACTTTCTAGCGTAGAGGTTGTTTTTTGGATTCTAGAGATCTTGAGATTATTTATCTTGGTTTTCCTACCTGTCACTGATCCTTCATCCTCTTTGGCTTGTAGATAATGAGATAAGTTCAATATGCGGGCTTGATAAAATGAAACACTTGAACACTCTTGGTATGTATTCTTATTTGCACGTTGTTTAGTGATTACATGTCAACAAAGTACCAATACTTTGAATTGTAATTTAGATAGTTTGATCATGACCTATAATTTAGATAGTGTGTGGAAATAAGCATGTGCTTCAATCACATAGAGAAAGAAAGTTTCAATACCCCGAATTTAGTTGCATGTAATGCATCTAGTTGATGCGTTTAATGACATCCTCCTATGTAGTTTAAATTTAAAACCTTTGCCTTCAGGCTCATTATGACAGTACTGGTTCAATATTGATCTGACCAAATCCCACTGTTCCCACCGAAGCCTAAATACACTCGGCCTTTGTATCTTCAAATGCTTCAAAACGTCTGGTTTGACCCTTTTTTTGTGATTCAAACCTGTATCTTTAATCACATATAAACGATCTCCCAAGATGATGAGAAAATTTGACTTTATTTCTCCGCCATCCAATCTAGTTCCTTTAAAATTTAGTTTGATGGCAGATTTTACTTTCACTCATAAGGAGAATTTAAAAACACATGCAGGAGTTTTTGGAGCCAAGGGGGGTAGTATTGTTAGCAAGCTTCTCACATGTCCGCTCCCCTTCCTCTCTTCCTCCTGGGCGCATTGGACTTATCTAATGCTAGCATCAATTTATTATATCAATATCATTTTTCTGAAATTGATAGGCCTCATCTCCCCCTCTTTTCCTTTATTTCATGTAAAGCATACATTTCTCTGATATGGTGTAACACTGGGCAGAAGAATTCCTTTTTGTTTTATTTTCTTTCATAATAATTGCATGTTTAAGTCGTGTCTTTTGATTTTGGGATCCTCTTGCAGTTCTTTCCAAAAACCCAATTGGTGAAATTGGTGATTCTTTACTGAAGCTAAAATCTATCACGAAGGTAAGCATTTTACTTGTTCAGTGTTCCTTGTGGAAATTTCTTTTGAAAAATGCTAATGCCCTTGAACTTTGTTGGTTCCAGCTATCTCTTTCTTATTGTCAGCTTCAGAATATAGGCACTTCACTCAAGTCATGTGTTGAACTGAAAGAGCTCAGACTTGCTCACAATGATATCAAGGTATGTCGTCTACTGCCAGGAGTATCTTTTGCAAAACAATCTCTCCTCAAGTTTTGAATTTATGACAAGATTATTCAATTTAGTGCTTCCTACCAGTTCTGTAAAGTTTTCTTTTCGTTTATGCCTTTCTTCCTTTGCCGAAGCTTTCAACTTTGTTCATTGAGTCTTTAAACTTTTGTTGTTTTCGTGTATGATCTGTCCAGAGTCTCCCAGCTGAGTTGGTTCATAATAAGGACCTTCAAAATTTGGATTTGGGTTATAATGTGATCACAAGGTGGTCAGATCTTAAGGTTGACACGTGGAGCTGAAACTTTCCCCTTTTTCATCATTTTCATTGCTGAACAAAAAATAGATATGTTTCACCCTTAATAAAATCATGATTTATGATCACAGGTTCTTGATTCATTTGCTAATCTTAGAAGTCTAAATCTGCAAGGGAATCCTATTGCTGCAAATGAAAAATTAGTGAAAAAGGTAATAGTTATTATCATCTTTGTTCTCTTTACTTTCTCTTTTCAGCTTTGCCATCTTAATTTGATTCTTACTATTATGACTTTATTGTAGATAGGAAAAATATTGCCAAACTTGTGTGTATTCAATTCGAAACCAATAGAAAAATATGCCAAGAATGAGAAGGGTGACAAGATTGTCAATGACTCTTCACTTGGTGACAAAAACCTAGAAACTCAAACAGAACACAAGAGAGATCGCATCAAGAAAAAGGACCCCATAGATCCTGTCATGGATGAAGAAATGGATGCTAATCTTAATAGTGTTAGTGATTTTGATACGAAGAAGAAATCCAAAGGGAAAAAGCTGGGAAGTAGTGACAATGCCTTGGAAGTTCTGACCCATGAGGATGAGAAAAGAGACGAGGTCAAGAAAAAGAAATCCAAACATCATCTCCCCGATCAGAGTAAGATTGACAAGCTTGAAAATGATCCCGTTTCGGAGAAGCAACCAAAACAGAAAAGTGAAGTAAAGAATGAGAAGCTTCAAAAGAGAAAAGGTTCATTCAAGGACGAGAATGATGCTGATGCCAAAAAGAAAGCAAAGAAAATATCCACAGTGAGAAGCAGTGAACTGGATGTTATCGATGAGAGTGATGCCTTGCTTGCAGAGCTTCTTGCTGCTAACAACACAGAACGCCCCAAATATGAAGAGGAAAAGGTTATTGGCAATGCTAGCCAAGCCATGAAGTCGGCAAGTGGTGTGGTAGCCCTCTCTGGTAAGAGGAAGAAAGCTAAATCCCAAGGCTCAGGTTCTGTCCCAGAACTTCCACCCGTAGTTGAAGTTGGTTTGGGTGGTACATCAACATGGGGAGACGAGTAACTTCACATCAGAGTTCGAAAATGCTCGGCAACCGTGAAAAGCTTTTTGGCAAAGTTTTTAGATTTTCTCTTGCTGGTTTTAAGTTTGCAGACCAACTTGACAAGAAGTATCCAAAAAGTGGGATTAAGACTCTTTTTCGGAGGTCGCCGTTGAAGCTACAAGATTGCATCGTAGTTGAGCTGCCTTTGACTATGTGATTAGTAGAAAATTCACATTGTCGAATCGTTCTTGTTGACTTTGATAATATTCAAGAGCTGATAAGTCAAACAGCTAGGAATTTTTCTCCTCGAGGCTCCACTAGGATATGGTAGTTGGCATATTCATGCCAATGTCGCATGTTGAGGGACAACGCTTTGCCGCGCTCTAATTATACCTTACGGAAAATGTGATCGAAAGGGGTTTATTTTATTTTTGAAAGTTTTGGGATGTGGCACAGATGTTTATTATCGCTGCCAGTGAGGATGGAGGGAACTTTATTACTTCTTTCATTTATTTATGTATTTATTATTTGTTTTTGCGAATTCATTGGCATTATAGTTTTGTTTGTCATTTGAAGTTATGCTTCGATAGAATGATCTTCTGCTTACATCTGCCGTAACATCTCCTACCAAATATGAGCAGGATCGAAGCTATTTCCCAAGGCAGAAATGCAGTTTCATGGACCAATTTATGAGCTTATGATCTTACTGGGCAATGTTTTATAGTTTTTCATGTCTTATTGTACAAATGTAGTAAAAAATTTACTTAGCGAAACATTAATACCTTTTGTTAAAAGGTGTTTTTTAAGCCTTTTTCTAAGCAAAATAAAAGGGCAATCAAAGCGTGGCACGCTGACACACTAGGCTCGACATATTTGGCACGTAAACTACGCACATTTTATTCTATTTACTTCTTTTCTTAATTTACGAAGAATCTGTCATGTCAAATGAATCTATAATACTAAATCAGTTGATATAGTAATGGAATATATTTCACTAGAACATGTTCAAGTCTTTGTGTTAAATATTTGAGATTTTTTTTGGAACAATTTGTACATATATATATTTTTATTTGTATTTACATCATTTCTGTAATGCATATCCAGGGCAATATCAAATCAATGTACCAATTTTAAATTTTAACATTCGAGTAGGAAAATCACTCTTTTTACGACGATACTATTCTTGGTGCTCAATTCCACATATGTTAAACTTGGTTGCAATGTGAAATTTTCACATCAAGTACAACATATGTTGAATTTTAGGATTTAATTGCTATTATTTGATGTATTATTTTTTTTATTTAATTATTACAACATTGAAATTTTTTTAAAATTAAAAATTTACTTTCCCAACTTTTAAAACTTAATAATTATAACAAAATATAGTTATAGCATTTGAAACAACGTCATGCATGGAAGCACAAATCAAATATGTGATTTCCATACTTTTGTTTTCAAATATAGCATTCGCATTATGTTTTGTAATGGAGATGGTCTTAAAAGTAAGTAGAAAAAAAATAGAAAATTTACCTTTGAGAGTGTATGAGTATGGACCTTTACCCTTTACTCTTGATGAATACCCTTTTGTTAGTGTAATTATTCGACTAAAAAGGTAATGAATCAAGAGTAAATGGTAAAAATCCTGACCCATATACTTTTAAAGAATATTTGTTAAGATTACCTAAAAAACTATTATTTAACTTTGATAATTAATAAAATGGGTCGTGTGTTAAAGCGGGCTACCACAATGAAGCATGTGGGTTGACATGATATGGCACTTAAGGTGTCGGCAGTGGCGGAGCCAGCCTTTCACTTCAGTAAGGACATACTAAATTTTTTTTAACAAATTATCTTAGTGGTGATATATAAGAAAATATATTTATTTTAGTGGGAGCATATATTATTTTAGTGGAGACTTAAGTGTAAAATTTTAAAATTTTTACAAGTAATATTTTTTCCAAAAAAATTTAAATGGGAGGCGGCTGTCCCCATTCATCTTCAAGTGGCTTTGCCACTGGGCATCGGCTAATGTATCATGTCAGACTAAAGATAAGGAATTATAGGCCAGCACAACACAAATACATATAAACAGTAGGTCATGCTAAGTACAACATGATAACACGATTAAGTCTAATTTAATGGGCTGCTCCTTGCCTAACCAATTGGCGAGCTCTATCAACTTGTTAAGGGCACTTGACTAAATCAAACTGATAGCTAAAACACAAAGGAAATAATCAAATCAAAACGGAAATTAACAATTTGTAATCGCTTATAACAGTTTTCTCAATAAGTAGTCAGCCTTCTCAAATTGCAAAGTGTACAAGAAATTATTCAGGTAAGTAATTACCATTTTTTTTTTTTGTAGATACATTTAGTAATTATCATTGGTTTCATGCCTTTATTTATCTGTCTCTATCTTTATTGGTTAACCTGAAAAATCTAAATGGGCAAGAAAATCCTATTGCTACAAAAGTGAAATTGGTTAATAAGGTACTTGTCATTGTCATCTTCGTTTTATAAGCTTTCAATCTTCACTTGATTCTTGCATGCATTCAAGAAGTTGGATCACTCTTACGTTTGTGTGTCTCCATCAAAGTTAACCGATAAGATTTTAAATGAGTTTTGACGACCTAACTTTAGAAAAATCAAATTGTTCGATTTCTTTATGTCAATGTTGATCAATGGCTGCTAAATAAACGGCCAGGAGTTGCTGCTTCCTTGAGTGCTTAGTTTTGAATTTAGATAAGGTCTGGTAGTTGGCACATTATTAATTGAATTCAAATAGCCCAAGTGGTGTTCTAGACACACCAAAATAATATGGGAGAAAGAAGGAAATAAGCCAAGATTTGAGATGAATTAAAATTAATAGGCCAATAGTTTACATAAGTTAATAAATATGTCAAATTACTGTTTTTGTCCATAACTTGTCTGGTTATGAACCATAACTTGACAAGTTATTGTTCATAATTCACAATTTTTGTTCATAGTTTGTCTGGCTATGAATCATAACTTGACAAGTTTGTCCATAATTTATCTGATTATGAACCATAACTTGACAAGTTATGGCCTATTAATTTTTATAACTAAAAATTAGCCTATATACTTTCTTAAACTTTTCATATTGATCTATTTCCTACTATTAATAATAATTAATTATAAAATAATAAGTCCCAAGTTGTGATACGATACGTAATTCATCACGTAAATTGTACCACATTAAAAATGCGATTTAAGATTTTAGAAGCATGAAAGATGTTTGGTCATAGCTGTCACTATCAACAAGGATATAAACGTGTTGGGAGGATGTGGTCCTGGTTGGCCATTTCATATTAATTTGGATGTTAATTGTTTGTGATAAACATGCTTAGCACTACAAATTAACGCTGTTTTTTTTCTGGCATTCTAACTATTATCAACTTGGAAGTTGGAAACTTGCAAGTGACTTGGCGTTTAGCATCAATTTCTTCAAAGAAAGGTTACGGCGGTTAGTTTATCAATTCTCCGAAAGCTTAAACTATTAGAAGTGGACAACACTCTTTTTTACGTATGGATTGAACAAAAATAAAGTTGGATAAATAATTAAGAGAAAATTAAGTGGCATACAACAAAATTACATGTAATTATCACGTGTCAACTCGTTTAGTGTTACGATTTTTGCCACTATAATAATAATAATCATAATAATAACATAATTATAATAAACCCAAATATATTAAGACCTAATAGTTTGTATCCCCGAAATTCGAAAACATATGGCTTCCCAAAAGAAAAAAAAAAAAAGGGCATCGTCTAATTCAACTTGGTTAGGTAATAATTGACACTAGGCAAAGGATATGCAATTTCGTCAAAATATTATAGATTAAGAAAAAAAATTCAACTCACTTAAAGTCACATAAATGGTTAGGCAAGTAGTCTCCAATTGACTTGAAATTCAGATGTACGTATTCAAATGTACGCATTGTTAAATTTCAAAACAGCCCCTCTAGCGAAAGGAGGCAAAAAAAAAAAAAAAAAAAAAAAAAAAAAAAAAAAGTGTGAGATACAAGAAGTGAAGAGAAAAAGCCTTTTGGTTGGAGGATTTATTCTCTAATTCGAATCATGATTCATAGTTCGCTACAGTATTTTCTCTCACAAAAAACACACATAAATAAAAAATAATTCTAATTTCATGATTTTAATCTATGAACCAAACGAAAAGTTTCAAAAGAATTGCACTTTATTTTGAGGGGATAAAATTATTTTGAAGGCACATTGTATTTTTAATAATATTAAATAGGTGTTAAGATACTTTTAAAAATTTAAAAATCTATATATAATATTATGAAAAATACAATGATACGTTTCAAATTTGATTTTCTTTTTTGGCCAAACAAACTCTAAACAGGGACTAACTTTGGTAGTCTAGTCAGTAACTTTGACTTTTAAATACCAAATCAAATCCTATATTATTTGAATGAAAAAAGGGATATAAAAAAAATTGTTAACTGTTTGTCTATTTTTTTTTTTTTAAAAGGACTGTCTACGGTAGGGGGTATGTTATAAGAACTATCGGATTTCAATCCAACGGTAGAAAGAGATGAAGACACGCCAAATACCATGAATCAGCTACCTACCGGATTACAACATAATTTTTTTTTTGAAAAAAAAACAAAGAATAAAAACCTAGAAATATCTACTGATCTGTAGAACAAAACCACCGATAAGATTCCCATAGCAGCCTCCAACACTTTCTCTGAGCACCAACGACGGCGGTGAGCTGACAACCATCTCTACTCTCGACCCCTCCCTTTGCCCCCTTCCTCTCAACCCATCTCTAAACTCCTCCTTCGAAGCCTACGACCTTACCTAGGCCGATTCAAACAACTTCAGATTTATTCATTTGCATTTTTGAGTTAGGGTAATTTGAGTTCAGATTTTAATTTTAGTTAAAATGTATTTAAATATGATTTGAATTGAGATTATAATGTGAGTTTATGTTTGAATGTGCACATTTTGAGTTATAGTTTGAATTGAAAATCTATTTGAGTTTGTGTTTGGGTGGGTTAAAACTTAAATTTATATTTAAATAATATTGTAATAAAAACTCAATAGTGATGAAAAATTTTAATCATGTATATGGGTGTGGTTTTATTCGTCTTTTCGTTGTGAACTTATAGAAAAAAAATCATCTCAATCGGAATTAAAACGAAAAAATTATGACATTTTTAAGAATAGAAAAAATACTATTAATTAACTTGAGTTTGAGTTTAGAAACTTGAGTTGAAGGAGAAACTTAAACTCAGATTTTAGTCTCAAACTCAAATTTTACAAAGGAATATGAACTTAAATAAAATTGTAACTTAAGTTCAAATTTTTTTTAAATTTGAGTGCAAATGAACAAACCCTTCGTCTTTGTCCCCGATCGAGATATCCACTAACACCTGCGAACGCCGTGGGTCTCGGTGTCTCTGGCGCCCATTCCCTCGGTATCTGGGTTATGGACTGAAATCATTTTTTTTTTGTATTGTTTAATTAGATTGTGTTGTTGAAATTAATTTGTGTATTTGTTTTTTTGAGATTGTGTTTTGGAAATTAATTTGTGTATTATTGAAAGTT